CCTCATCATTCTTTTTAGCAGGTTTGAGCAATTTCAGCAGGGATTCCCTTTGCATTTCTGCAGTGGCTCCTCTTGGCACTGCCACCAGTCCTTCCTGGAGCTGGTGATTTTCCTGGAGCAAGTTTATTGAGAGCAAAGTGGCCTTGGCCTGAAAGCTATTGTGGGTTTAAAACAGAGAGCCTTGCCTTACACGCCCTCGGGGCTAGGATCCCTGTTGGGCTGCCCCCACCCCTTCCCTTTTGGGGTAGGGGCAGGGCAGAAGTCTTTTTTATTTCTTTTTAATTTTTTATTTCCATAGGTTATTGGGGAACAGGTGGTGTTTGGTTCCATGAGTGAGTTCTTTAGTGGTGACTTGTGAGATTTTGGTAGCCCTCTCCCCCTGCACAGGCTGAATGTGGAGCCAGCCTACATAATTGCAGATAGGTTGCCATTTCCTCCACATCTTAGATCCTGGAGATGGCATGTTGGGTCCTCTCTTTCTCCATTTGACCCGCAGGGAAGAAAGCAAAAGGGCAGCAGTTAACACAAACTTCTTGTTTCACTTCAACGAACAGGGCTAAGCAATACCTGGGCAAAGTGAAATTCCAGAGTAATGTCTAGAGGCTTGCCCCTAGACTGGTGGGGAAGGGTGCTGGCTCTAGCTTATTGTTTCCTAAGCTTTCCTGATAAGGATCACCTGGCCTGCTTGTTAAAATACAGATTATTGGGGCTAGGAATCTGTTTCCTTAACAAGCATTCCAGGCCATTCCTATCTTCAGGCAAGTTTGGGAAACAGTCTGTCTGCTATACCAAAAATAACCTGTGGAAGAGGAGTGCTTTTAAGTTTTGCATATAGTACACGAATATGTTCTCCTTGTTAGAAAATGTTTTAACATTACAGAGAAGTAGGTCTTCTTTTGACTTCCCCTAAGCACCCCATTATGAGTCCTGCTGTCTTCCCCAAAGGGGAGTCAGTTTGGAGTGTACATCTCCCAGAGCCTTTCTTTAACTTGATAGAGATACAGGTTTCTGTTTTGTTTTTCATAAGTAGGTATCATGTTGTGTTTATCATTCTACAGCTTGCTTGCGTTCCATTCAGAGCTATGTCGTGGAGCGCTATGCCAGCTCACGCAGAGCAATTGCTTGTTTTTCCCCCCAGCCTGCTGCATAATGTTACATCATATGGAACTAGCACAGTTTATTTAGCAGTTCCCCTGTTGATGGATGTAGCAGTTTCGGGTGGTTTCTCATGATTACTTCAGGTAGCATCCTTGCCCTTGGACCCTAGCGCACATTTGGGAATAAATACTGAGAAGTTAAATTGCTAGGACAAACTAGGTGCATTTGGGGATTTTAATGAATTCTGCCCAAAGTTAACCCTTCTAAGTGTTTCCACCAAAGTACATTTCCACTGAGCATGTGGAGAGGACCCAATTCTGCACACAAGTGCAGCTGTCCCACAAAAGCAACTGAAACTCACCAGTGCACAGGGAAGTGTGGCCAAGGGGCAACACCCACCTTCCTCTAGTCCTTTCCTTTGGAGATGAACAGCTGCAGACTACTTCCTATCACAAAGAGAAGCTCCCAAGATAAAAACACAGGGACCCCAGCAGAATGTGTGTTTCAGAGAGAAGGCATGGAGAAGCCACCCCCAGGCCACTGCTGGTTTGCTAGGTGACTGTAGCAGTGCCCTGCCCTCCGAGCTGCAGTGGGCCTGTGGAAACAAGGGGAGGCTAGAGCAGGTCTCTGGGAGGACAAGCCTGTGGAAGCCCTTTAAGGGCTTTGGGCTGACCTGGAGTCTGTAGTTTTGTCTGAAAGCAAGAAAGATGCTTGTCTGGGGTTTAGCACTCATCCCCAGAGGCCAAGCAAACAAAAGAAGATGTGGCTCACTGGCTAAGCAGCGACACTCTACAGCTGTTTTTTCTGCTAGTGCTCAGCTCCAACTCTGTGGTTGCCAGGTCTCTGCCAGTCTGAGATCAGAATCAAAGGAAAGCTTCTTGTGTACCCAGGTGGTCTGGCCTGCAGAGCAGTCCTGACTGGCTCCCTTTTGGTTGAATTGTTCAGTTAGATGTACAGCAATTGTCCGATAACTGGGAAGTTTTAAAGCAAAGCAAAATCAATCTCATCAGAAATCCAATCTCACATCTGGAGAAAACTCATTCCCTTTCTTTTAGCTCAGAAAAGCAGCAAACCTCCTGCCTGGCCATCTGGACTTGCAATGAGCCCCGGGCAGCTTGGACAGTGGTCACACTGCCCAGTCCTAGTGGCTGGGGCCTCTGGTAGTTCACAGGGCACTCTAGCTGACTGCCTCTCAGCTCTCCTAACACCTGGTTGAATTTTTATTCCCAAAACTAGGACATGATTTTGCAAAATGTCATATAATTCAGTGCAGTGTTTGCCAAGTTTCAGGTTGCTCAAACCTCAAGTTTCTTTTTCTCCACCAACCTCACTTTGGAGTTTAAAAGCAGATTGATTGAATATACATTTTAGGAACTTTCCGATTTGCTTCCTATACTAACAGAATTCTAGACCTCTTTTTTTTTTTAATGGAAAGATTTTCAACTGTCAGCAAGTATAACTGGAACCATATGTCAGCAGAGACCAAGGGCTTTTCCTGGTTTTAGGATTTGTAAATTCTTATTGAAACGGAAGTAAGCAGAACAGGCAGCTCCGTGACAGCCTGAGCTCAGATCTCATTTTAATTAGAAAATATAGGTAGCACTTGCTGAATCACAGGCCTTTCAGAACTCCTGTCCCAGGGCAAGCAAAGATTTGGTTTATATCCTGCAAACCTTTGTGTTTACAAATTACAGAGCACTTCTGAGAGCTGGAATGGCGATTTCGAGATTACCATGGAGACTAGAACCCAACTGCCCCTCCCACCCTACCAGCAAAGCCCCCAAAATGATTTTGTTTTCCAGGGGAAAAAATGTTTCCCCTCCTTATTGCAGAGTAGATAAAGGATGTTCATGTTGAAATGAGACAGTGAGGAAGTCTGGGACAAGAGAAATGAGATTAGATGTCATCCGCAGCAGCTACATTTTCTCCATTTGGATGTCTGGCCCCTTTTGAACTCTGAGACACAAAACTCTGCACCTGACCAGTGTCTGAACTGTTCTGTTTGACAGCAGTTCATGTGTATAATTTTCTTCCTAACGTGTTCTGCAAATGGTAGAGTAGAAATAACAAATGAAAGACATTGTAAGGCCTAACTCTCTCACCCCTTCTTTCTCCAGCCTGGTGTCATTTGAGTTCAGTGGGTCTCAAGAAAGGCTGCCATTACAATGTCAGCATCTGGAAGCCACCCCCACTGCGACTCAGAGCCTGACCCATAGCTGCAGAGAAAGTGGTGGAGTAGGGGCAGCAGGAGCCGTAGATGCTCTAGTACTGGTCACTCTGAGCTTCAGTTTTCACTGATGAGCTCTCTCTTGCTTGGGGAGCAGTAACTGCTGTGTGCTAAACCTCCTGTTGACCTCCAGCCATTTGCCAGGGACAGAGCTGCCGCCTGCTGTCCCTCCTCAGGCACCACATTCCAGGCAGCTGGCGGTCACTCACTCACCCTGCTAGGGTGGCTGCCACAGGCTGCCATTTACCAGGCAAAGGGGGATTTTCCCTTCCCTTGAGTTTGCAGGCCCCTCAAATGCCTTACATTCCAGAAGCTGGGAGAGAGAGCAGGCTCCTGTGGTTTCTAATTAAACCGACAATTTAAATAACAATTCATGTAACCCCAAGGGTTGAGAGGAACACTAACCTACCCCCTCCCAAGAGAAGCAGCCAGTTGGTGCTGGCTGAGGGCTTGGCCTTTGCCAGATAATGTGACCAAAGAGGGCAAGAGGAAAGTCCCAGGGCAAGTTTGTGATAAAGTGGGGTTATGCAGGAGGGGCATGGATTAGGTGTGTTCTGTGCCCCTCCTAAAGGTTAGGAAGTAAAAAGGAGGAGGAATAGTGGCCACGTTTAATGGGAGCCTCCAATCGAGAATTTTTACTTTTCTCCAGGGAAACTGTGGAATGGTGGTCTCTGAAGTGTTAGAATCCCAGACACTCAGGTTCTCATGGGAGTTCCCCCCACCCCAGGTGACTCACTCTCTTTGTGCGTTGTAAAATTTTTCTCTGGGGAGAAGAGGCAGGGGTGTGTTCTGGAATACAGACAAGTGGGGAGCTTAGGCAGGGGCCCTGGGAGGTGGAAGATCTGACCAAGCCTCTGCTCACACTGGTCCTCAGTTTCCCTGTGTTGTCCAGGGGCCTTTGTGTTTGTTGTTTCTAGGGTCCTTTTATGTCCCTGACTGACTGACTGTACATCCTTGCGCTGCTTTTGTGTTTTTATTTGGCCTGTCTGGGGCTACAGTGATCTTTATAGTACGTTGATCTCACCAGATTGTTGTCTGATGACCCAAGGTGTGGTTGTGTTCCAGGTCTGGGGAAATGGAACGCCAAGCTAATTATCTCTAGACAAACTCTTCTGTGCCTCAGCCAGCACCAGGGTCTCGTCAGTATTTCTAGGCATTCTGAGATCTCGTTTCCAACTTTTCCTCCACTTCCATTCCATTAAGCCAAGCAACTCACATTCCCTGAGGATGCCCTCCAGGTTCTTGCCTCGGTGTTTAGTGTATGTTGTTACCTCTATCAGGTACCCTTCTGTTCTCACGTCACTGTGCCTGGAGTGGGCCAGGCATGCACCAGCTCAGAGGGCCTTCCCCGCGGTGGAGCCCTGCCAGTGTGGGTCCCATTCGTCAGCCCTGTGAGACATGGAGCTCCCTGAGTCTGGGCGTCGGCTTTACTTCCTGCCTTCCCTGCCTCTCCTTACTCATCTAGCTGAGGCTCAAAGCATAGCTGTGAAAAGATGTGAAACAAAAAAGCCAAAGGTGGACTCACACCTGCCATCTTCCTCCTTGCAGGTGACCATAGCAGATGACTACTCAGATCCCTTTGATGCCAAGAATGATCTCAAGAGCAAAGCAGGAAAGGGGGAGAGTGCTGGCTACATGGAGCCCTACGAGGCGCAGAGGATCATGACAGGTAAGTGGAGCTGCAGTGCAGGGGCTCATGGCTCAGTGGGAGGGAAGAAAGAGGAAGTGAAGGTACTGCTGGGTGGTCCCCAGCTAGCTTCAGTGGGGGCATGGTGTGTGCTTTCAAGGTGGTAGGTGGAAGCATTGCTGTATTAAATCTTTCCCATGGTTTGCCTGCTTATTTTTCACGTATATTGGGAAAAAAACTGGCAGGGCACCATAATAGTCCAGATACAAGGATATCACATACAGTTAACCAAAGGTAGGGGCCAAGAAAAAGTGGGGAGAAGAGGGAGAAAAAGTAGTTTTATCAGAAATTTCTGAGTGAAGAAAGATATAGCATTTGAGACATGAACTTGGAGCTTCCTACTAGGCAGAGCAAAAAGGGAAGTAGGCTGGGTCACCTGGCGTTCATTGCTTAGTCGAAGAGAGCTGACCGGATTACTAGTAGAGACAAAATTATTTCTGGCCACATACCCAGAAATCTTTGTTTTGGAGTTGGAAGCAGCATAAAGAACCCTGGTCTACATGACAGGGTTACAAGAAGCATAGAGACGTTCCCTTCTGGCCACATACCCAGAAATCTTTGTTTTGGAGCTGGAAGCAGCATAAAGAACGCTGGTCTACATGACAGGGTTACAGGAAGCATGGATATGTTTCCCCCCAGTGGCTGCTTTACTGTTGGCCCTTGATGACAAAACCTTGTCAAAGCAATTGTGTGGAGTCAAGAAGAACGTGGCTGGGCATGCAACATCCGGGGGGCCTATTTTAGCCAAGATAATACAATACTCGGAGGATCTTTAAGGAGTAAAGGGTTATCAGATATCAGTCATCTTGTAGGCAGGATTGGGGGAAGGTCACAAGCAAAAGGGAAACCCCTATTGTGGCTTCTCCTGGCTCAAGAGGGCAGCTGTGTGGGCTGGCCCCTGTGACCTCACATAGGCAGGGCTATGAACTGGGGCACATCAACACATTGTGCTGCAGGGTGCAAGAAAGTGGCTGGGAGCAAGTTCAGGCCGCCCTGGCTTTGGGGGCCTACTGAATTGGTACCCTGTATATCTGGGGACTTGGGATACAGATACGTCTTTCTATGGCCCTCTTATTACTTATTTGTCTAGGTTGTTTTTTTGTTTTTGTTTTTTTGCATTCCTACCTTTAAGAAGGGAGAGGAAGTGGCATTTACTGAGCACTTAGCATGTGCCAGGTCCATGTCTAATGTCAGCTTATCGGGCTATGGAGCCCATGCAGGTTGATTGTTGAAGGATCTGGGTGCACCTTCTGGGCTCTGCCTCTGGTGTTCTCTGTCTCCTGCTCCTCCTGTTCATGGAAGGAGATTCTTTGACCACCAATGTGGCCTCTAGAACTGTTGGCCACTTTGTGAGGGGCAGCATAGAGAGCAGTGGACCAGAGGGACTTAGGTGCAGCCTTCTGGAGGGTTTCCCTCGCACTCAGTCCCGTCTGTCTAATCTCCTCTGGTAAAGCAGCCTCCACAGGCAGCAAGAGGCCAAGAGCTGAGCTTGTGTTCGGTGCCAGGGTCCTGAGGGAAGGCAGCCTGCTATCTTTCCCTTGGGGAAGCAGGCTGGCTCCAGGAGTTCTCACCACAGATGTATATGCATGCCTGGGCCCTAACCGCAGCCAGTGCATCCCATCCCCTCCACCAGGCCTGGTGAAACCCAGCTCCAAGGAAGCCCAGGACCAGCTCCAGCCCTTGGGCTGTGGCCTGCACCTCCCTGCAGCTCTGTCAGTCTTGCATTCAGCAGGCGTTGGCTCCAGCTTAAAGGGGTGGTGGTTACAACAGTGACTTTGGGTCATGTTCAGAATGTCAGAGTGGAGAGGAATCATTGAGGTCATCTAAACCTAACAGCCTCATTTTACAGATGGCGAAACTGAGATTAGGGAGGGACAGAGACTTGCTTGAGGACACACAGTGAATTGATGGCAGAGTACAAAGTATGGCCTGTGCTTTGCAAACTTTGGGGTAGGATACTGAAGGAAGTGTAGTGTTAGTGTCAGTGCCTGGGCACCCTAGACATGAAGAAATGGCAGAGGCCTCTGCCAGGGACCAGACTCCATGCCGGGTACTTTCACATATACCCTCATTAAGCCTCCTGATGTCTCTTCAAAGGAGATGTCCCATTTTACAGCTGAGGGAAACTGAGAAGTTCAGCTCCTTTCCTGGAGTTGCACCAATGGAAGTAAGTGGCTCAGTCTGAGTGCAGAATATGGCACAGGGGCTGGAGGTCCCTCAGAACAGGCAGGATGTTGTTATAGGAGTCCAGACTTGGGAATGAAGGGGGATGGGAGAGGGCATCTGTTGGGAGCCCAACCTCGTGGAGGGTTTTCCCCTGCCTGGTGCCTTAGGAATGGAGCCAGAGTCCCCTACTGGGTGCTGCTGAAAACCTCAAAGGTGAGTAGCTGTTCATTTGAGTAGAAATGACCTGAGGGACTTTGGCTTTTTTTTTTTTTTGAGACAAGGTCTTGCTCTGTTGCCCAGGCTGGAGTACAGTGGTACAATCTTGGCTCACTGCATCCTCCACCTCCCAGACTCAATCAATCCTCCTGCCTCAGCCTCTTGAGTAGTTGAGACCACAAACACATGCCACCTTGCCAGGCTAATTTTCTTGTAGTTTTAGTAGAGACAGGGTCTCACTGTGTCTTTTAGGGTGGCCTCCCACTCTGGTCTCCCAAAGTGCTAGGATTGCAGGCATGAGCCACTGCACCTGGCCGACTTTGACCTTTTAATGAGGGCACACCCCACAGGGTCAAGTCCAAGGCAGGGCAGTTTGATTTAGCCAGGAACCTGTTAAGACCTCTTTCATTCTCTTTCCAGAGAGGCATTCTAGCATATGCTGCTCTGTGTTTGCATCCTAGCTTGGCATCTATGCCCAAGTTTACCCACATTTCTTGTTTTTCAGAATACAGGTGATTAAAAGGGGTGTTTTCTGGTTGTAACGATCCTTGCTGAAGCTCCCCTTGACTCAGAATTATTTGTGTGTAATTCTCTGTGGCATCACCCCAGTGATTGACGGCAGGGCTGGATGTGGGCTAGGATGGCCATTGGTGCATAAATGTTCCAGGAGGCTTGCAGAGCTGACGTGAAGCTCTTTGAGGGGGAGATGGTGGCAGAAGAGAGGGTGGTGCTGGTGATGGCAGTGGAGTGGGAGTGACATGGAAAAAGTTAAACCTTTTAGAGTGACCCTTTTTAGATGATATTACATTTTATGTGTGTGCATGTAACTTGTAGTTACAGGGCAGCATCTTCAATCAATAAGCGTAATGCTGACAAGAAGGCTGTCCCCTCTCTGTGCTGCAGACGATGTACCTATGCAGGAGGAGCCTGGGCTGGAGTCAAGCAGATCTGGGATGGCCACTTTCCACCTGAATGACCCAGGGACCTCGGTTGTCCCCTGCAAGGCAGTAGCCTCAGAGCGGGCAGTCATTAGTGCTTCTAGCCGCTTTGGGCCTCTGGCTGTGTGATGATGGGCAGCACATTGTGTGCCCTCATGTTTACTTATGTATGGAAGGATGGACCAGTGATAATAACAACAGGGAGGCAGCTGGTAAGCTCTCTAGTACTTGCTTACGGCACTTGATGTCACTTCTTAACTGGGTCCTCACCATTACCCTCTGGAGTGTAGGCTGCCCCACTTGACCAGTGGAGAAACCAAGGCACAGAGAGGTTAAGAAACTAGCCCAAGACATCCCAGCTAGTAAATCAGTGATGGGGTTGACTTCCTAGCCTGTTTAAATCATCATTTGGGGCATTCTTTCCAGGACCCACCCAGCCCTGGTGCACTGCAGTTTGGTCTTCAGATTCCCCAGCACATCCAGCTTGGTCAGTGATTCACTGATGAGGTTTTGTCTTCTGTGTCCCTCAGCTCCATGCAGCAGGTGGTGGGGAGCGTGGCCCAGCTCTGTGGGCTGTAACTAGGACGGAGGGCCTGGGGAAGTGTGCCTGTTTCTCCCAGGGGCTTCTCTCACTCCTGCCCTCTGAATGTCTCAGCTCATCCTCTCCATGGGCTCCCGTTTGTGTCACCTGCAGGAATATGTTCTGGCTCCAAGATGGATGCTCAGCCCTTCACAAACCTCAGAGCCCCATTGCCTGGGCCTCACTTGCCATCCCCATAGCCTCTCTCACCCCAGCAGCATCTCTGGGGGTGTCTCCTTAAACCCTATAGCTCTATAGAACCTAATTGGAGATCTAGTGACCTGGCTTAAGCTTTCTTTTTTATAGGTAGGGAAACTGAGGCTCAGGAAAGTTATCATCCTTTTGAGATATTTTTTAAAACTCACTTATTAAATGTGCGGCTGTCTTGTAAACCAGTGAGCTGACCATTCCTAGAGGTGTCAAAGCAGAAGCAAGACAGCCCACATTGGACAGTGATATGAAAGGGAGTTCAGTCTCAGATGGGTGGCTGGCTCAAGCCACTTCTGAGGTCTGCATTAACTCTGAGCTCCCAGGATGCCATGATTCACTGTGACCTGCCTTTCAAGCACAGTGACTGTCATTAGTCACCCAGGACCAGCCCCACAAAGATAGTACCTGAGACCAACTCTGAATAGGACAGGTTTGGATAGGGCTGGCAACCTCCTTTCTCACTGCTGGCCTGGCTAATTGTTCAGTCCTCTTTCCCCTTTTCATCTTCCTTGACTCGTCTCTCATGATGCAATTCTGGTCTTGGCCTTTTTCCATGCCCTGCTGCCCATCTGGGCCTCAGTTTCCTCATGTGTAATTTAAAGAGAAAGAACCAGAGCATTTCTGGGTTTTCTTCATGCCCCAGTGTCTGTGTATTTGGAATCCTCAGGCCATGCCTCCTGTTGCACCAGTGATCAGGCTGCTTCACAACTCCTTCTTTCCCTCTTCAGGTCTTGATTCCAGGCTTAAGGTTCCCAGGTGCATGGCATCCTGCTGATGCAGCACAAAGGGCACTGGATCCCTATCAGGCTGACTTGGGTGCCTGGCTGGCTGACGGTGCTTAGCTTACTGAGGGCTGTGGTGTCATTGTAAAATAGGGCCTGCGATGCTGATGCCCATGTGGAAAATAAGCTTTGCACATGTGTGTGAGATTGTTGTTATTGGGGGTGAGAGGGCCTGTTTGGTCCTTCCTGTGGTATACTGTGCTATTGAATTCTCTAGTCACTCCCTGTAGGATCCCCCACCCATCTGGAAGTAGGTTGCACCCTTGCCAGTGCTGGAGCTGGTCCCTGGGCCCTGTGCAGTGCACATGGTCATCACAAGGGCTCCATGCCAGGCTCTGTTGGAGAGTGGACCGAGTAATTGGGGCAGACACCACTACTGCCCTCCAGGAACATGCACAAAGCAGACAGGCATAGACCTGGAGTGGTCAGTGGTGGGTGCACTGAGGTGCACATGTGGCTCTCCAAGAGTTCAGAGACAGGAACAAGGGCTTCCAATTTGGGTGATCCAAGTAGAGTGGGTTGTGGGAGGTGGTGGTGACGAGGACTGAGTCAGACAACCCAGGCTGTGGGGAGAGTTTGAGAAAGACATAGAGGGTGGGCCCTTGTTGCTAGAGAGGAGTGACTGGAGATGAGACTTTTGATAGGATAATGATAGAAAAGCTCATGGGGCAAGAGCATGTAGATATTGATTGGGATCTGGAAGCCCAAGTTAACCTAAAGGCAGAAAGTGTTTCAGTACCTGAGACCCTCTCTCCACTGGCCTTCAGCCCTAAGAATTTTCAGAGGTACCCAAGGAGTGGTGGTGACATGCATGACACTCACTAGCTTTTGCAAAGGGCTTCCCTGTGTGCCAGACACTGCTCCAATACTCTCTATTCATTAGCTCACTTAATCCTTGAAACAAGCCTGTGAGATATAGGAATGTTCATCATTCCCATTTTACAGAAGAGAATACCAAGTCTCAGATTAAATAAGCAGCAAAACAGAACCAATAAGTGCCTTCTGGAGTCCTTGCTTACAGGCAAAATACTCTCACTTCTGTCCTGTGCTCCCTAGGGGCTCTGAGGAATAACTGGGAAATTTACAGTCACTTAGGCCGCCTTTTTAGAAATGACTAACTCTTCCTCTGGCATCCTTATAAAACTGTTCAAAGTCATCTCACTGGATGAATCCTTAAGCATTAATTGAAAGCATTTTTACATAATTTTTAATATGTAAGCAATTACACGTTAAAAAGTCCTTAGCATGTTTTTATTAAACCAACTTTATAGCCTAATAAGAAGAAATTAAAAGAAAGTCAATTAACACAGAGCCCCCCTGCTCTGACGTGGCTGTTTTCCTTGCTTACAACTGACCTTCTGCCCGTTTTAACTCTGCGCTGGTAGGCACGGTCCAGATGAAGCCAGTGACCGATTTTAAAGGCAAGAGGGTGTGTTCTTTTGTATTTTCTTGTCCTCTGGCCTGGCCTCTTCTAGTAGCAATTTGCTCTCTAGGAGAATCGTGAGGTTTGTCATATTAAAGACTGTGTTCCAATTGCGGCCTCTTTGTTTCAGGAGAAAGGAGGCAGGAAGTACAAATTCTAGCATTGGCTCTGCCCCTGACCTGCTTTGTGACCTTGGACAGGTTGCTTCCCTTCTCTGGGCTTCAGTTCCCTCATCTCTAAAATCAGATTCTTCCTCCTTCACTGGGTGTCAGGAGGATTCTGAGAGGTCATGGGTCTGGGATGACTTCATAAACCCTTAGGTTCCCTGCCTCTGTGATCACACTGGCCCCCTTTTCAGGCCTGGTTCTAGCATGCATGCTGCCATCTGTCCTCTCAGGACAGACAGGATACCATTCTGGACAGCCAGCTCTAGAGGCCCTTCCTACAGCTCCTGTTCTCTCCTTCTGGAATGAACTCTCCTGCAGACCAGCAAATGCTTCTCAGAAAAAGGAGCCTGTGAGTCTTGCCTGGATGTCAAAGAGGCTGTCTCTGGCCACCCTGCCCAAGACTTCTGCCTTCCTCTCATGTTTGCCATAAGCCCTGCCCCCCGGTACCAGGCAGCACTGTTCTCCTGATGCTGGGAAAGCAGAGGGCCTTCTGTCTGGGTCCTGAGTCCAGGCCCTTCCCAGCCCCAGCTCTGTAATGCTGTGGACTCTGCTCCCAGCATGTCCACACACGCCTCCCTGCACAGCTCTACTCCCCAAACCCTGTACTCTGAGCCCCCTCACTTCCATCTCTCCTGCTGCCTCACCCTCTGCAGGCTTCAAGCTCCTCCCTGGCCTGCCCTCCCCACCAAGTCCCCAGCAGACTCAGCTCATCCTGGTGGTACAGCTCTCCCCTGGCTGGATGATGACAGGATGAAACTGTCCTTGAGGAACAATGCTTTTGTCCTCATATATGCTTCCTTCCCGAGGCCCAGAGAGGGGTGCGCACCAGCCAAGTTCACACAACAGCAAGCCACAGGGTGAGTCTCCTGACTTACATCCTGGAGCTCCTGGGCCTTGTTTTGAAATGTTGTGAAATCCGTTATCACATAGTCCTGCCTGGCAGATAGCAGGCTTGGTCATGGACTGTGCAGAGTTCCCTAGCTGGTCTGTCATTTACCAGAATGACTTACCTACCGCACAGGAAGGAGATCGTCAAGTATAAATAGATTTTGTATTAGTCACCTGATGACTTTCCGATTCTTAAGAAACAGCAGGGCTCACACACCCAGCCCAGTGGTGCTCATCTGCAGAGCTGTGGGCTGGGAGGGAAGTGGGAAGCCTGGGTTTCCATGGTGACCAGCGGGCCATTCTAGGAGCTGCTTTCTATTCTCTCGCCCCTATTCCCCTCTTGTCTTTGACCCCTGACACTGAGCACGTTCAGGTTGTCAGGAAAGTTGCAGCAGGCCGGGAACAGGCCAGGGAGAGCAGACAAGTCATTGACAGCACCCCTGCTGTGGACTGAGGGTCCTTGCCCTCCAGGTGCTCCTGTCACATGGGGAGGGTGGACAAGGGCCCAGAGAACACTCATGTCTGTAATATAAAGCAAACGAAGAAAAATTACACTGGAGAGAAATCTGGTCTTGGAGAACACAGAGGAAGGAGAAGGATAGCCTCCAGGACCAAAGTGTCCTGCACAAAGCAGATGCTGGTTGGCATCCTAGCAAAGCCACACTTGAGGTCCTGACTCACAATGACCTTCCCAGGGAGGCATTCTGGCTACTTCTCTTACATTTCCACCCCTCCCCACCTCTCATGTTGTTCCTTAACACCTGTCGTTTTTTAGCATACTACATACTTTATTTACATTTTTTTTTTTTTTTTTTTGGTCATCTTTCTCACCACTGAGATATGGGCTTCACAAGGGCAGAGATGTAGGTTTTGTTGCCTACTGGAACCTAAAGTACCTGGTACAGAGTAGGTGGTCAGTAAACACTGGTTGAATGAGTGAGTGCATTAATTGACTCCAGAGACCCGGGCTGGTCCACAGAGTGCTGGGTGCCCCTCAGGAGCCCAGGGACCGCCTATCCTCCTCCAAAGAGTGCCAGATCTGGAAAGTTTGGGTTTAGCCACTTGCTAGGTGGTCAGGGAGGAGCTGCTTTGGCCTCAGGGTGGGAGTTGGGTAGGAGTTCTGACCAGTTCTGTCTCTGCAGCTGGTGGACTGCATAAGGAATAACTGATCCTGCCTTGGCTCCTTCCTCTCTGGGCTGAGAGTTCCGTGAAGGAGGGGACTGGTCTTAATCCATCTTCATTTCTCTTCTGGGCCCAGTAAATATTCACTGATTGAATGAATGAGTACAGGAATACAGGTCTGTATGGAGAAGAAATGAAAGAAAAGGAAACAAATAGGTACTCACAATAAACAGCCTTTTCCATTCTGCTGAGACTTGCTTGCTTGAAGTCACAGTGCCTATGTCAGAGGAAGAATGCAGTGCATTCATTCATTGACTGGGTGGCTATTTGTGAGCACCTGCTGTGTGCTGGCACTTCTGCTCCAGGGTCTATCTATGAACTGTTCTCACGGAGCTAACAGTTGAGTGAGGGACCGAGGTGGCCATGTTGCCTAGCCATGATTCCCTGAAACTCATTTGCTAGACACTCCAGCTCTGAGTTATCAAGGGCTGGAAGTCAGGGGCTTTCTCAAAGACCTGAGCAGAGTGGAGGCTTGTCACCAGGGCCAGGGCTGCCTTCAGTAGGAAGTATGCTCTCAGTGCTGTCTTATGGGAATAAGGGGGACAGCTGTGGCCCAGTGGCTGGCAGGTGTGTTCATCTGTCCTTGGCCCCAGTAGAGAAGCATAGGCCCTGAGGGTTTACATGGGTTTTCCCCGTGCTGCTGGCACTAAGCCTCATAGGTGTGAGGGCCCAGCAAACAGATTGCAGTCCTGCTGAGCATTTGGCAGTGAGGGCCCAGGCCCCTTGGAACACAGCCCTAACTCCTCATCTTTCCTAACAGCTGTAAGAGAAACATACATTTTACCCAAGGTAGAAATAAAGGAACAGGAATGTGAAATGTAGGAGTTCACCTCCGTAGGCCTGCCTTACTTAGCCTTGTGTTTCAGAACCCCAGAGACATTAAAAGATCTGAAAGTGCAGAAACTGATAGAGATACCTGTCCTGAAACAGGCTCAGGGAGACTCAGGTTAATCCGCAGCAAAGCTCCTGTATCCTGTACCCACCCAGCTCCCTGCATGCTGGGTAGGGTGTGGAAACCATGCGGAAACCCACACTGCAGGGGTGTGGCATGATTAGGAAGTCATTTAAGAAAACAGGCCCGCCTGGGAGTGTGGGGTGAAATCCAGCAGCACCTAGGAAGAGGCAGGGAGACAGGTTCTATGGTTCCAAGGCTACGGCTGTCATCTAGGCCAGGCCTAGATGTGGGGGCTGTGGGGTCAGGGCCCTTTCCTCCCCAGGGTAGGTGTGGTGGAAGGGCCTGCCAGCCAGTGGGTGCTGTGCAGAAGGGAGAGAAGCTGGGATGACACCATCAGTGCGGCCCTTAGTTAGTGGGAGGGTGGGAAAGTCAGTCACCTGATGAAACCTGTCCTATCTGAGAAGGGAAGGGAGGTTCCTGGGGAGGAGTCAGGAAGTTGAGATATGGTCACCTTTGAGGTGGGAGCAGCCATCTGGGTGTGCTTGGGAGAGATTGAATGCATTCATGTGTTAGGGAAGGTGCTGGAGTCAGATCAAAGGAGGGCCCCAAACTGTTCCAGGGGTCTGGGGGCCACCATCAGAAGTCCTGGACTGTGTTTCTAGTCTGGGGAGAGGGGGAGTGTGCAGGGACCGGCCAAGGAAATGGCTGGCCACAGTTCCTGCCTTTCAGAAGCCTGAAGGAGGAGATTCCATGATTCGCCCCACACCCTACTATTTGACTAATTAATTAGTACTCTCCTCTAAGTAGGGCTCAGGCTGGCTTTCTGGAAGCTTAGAGAGATGAGAGGTCTGTGTTAAAGGGTGCCTTTTATAGATGATGCCAGAGGTCTGTGCCTTTTATACATGATGCCAGGAATCTCCCTAAGGCTCTGAGAGGCAGCAGGTGAGATGATTTCCATTTTGCAGATGAAAAGGCTGAGGCTGATGATACTTCTGGCCCCTTCTCCCTGCAGGGGTTTCTGCCTGGTGATGCATGGGAGGGGGCTGAGTAATAATAGCAGGTGAGTCCTGCCTCAGAGGCTGCAGTATAGCAGGTACCTCAGGTTCAGTGCTCTTCCCCTCCTTGTGGAGAGTCCCTCCCTCACCCTTTCAGCTGGCTTGGCCTGTGTGTATTCATATGGTTAGTGAGGGCTGGCTGCAGTCATTTTCCAAAACAGATAGCTGAGCAGAAAGAAGTAAAATGCTGCCTCTTCACCCTCTCTTTCAGGGTATAGGCTTGTCATTGTACCTGGCCACCTAAAAAGTAGTGCATCAAAAGAGGGCTGTCTCCCAAGCCCAAGCCTCAGTTTTTAGGCCTGTCTGTTCCCACTGCCCCCATCACCCCATTCTGTCCATATGCCGACACAACCCTCATCATGTCCATCGTGACATACCTGCTAGACTGGAAGCCTCTGGAGGGCAGGATGACAGGGCAGGCTGGGGCTGGAGTGTCTCGCACTTAGACTGTCGGTGCCCTGTGTTTAAGGTCTTGGCCTGGAACTTTCTGGTGAAGAATGTCCCCTCATCCAGAACTTGCTGGTTTTGATGGAGTGTTTTGTTCACATAATGAGTAAACATCCCCCATAGAGCTCTCAGCTTCTAGAACCAAGAGGTGCTTGCTGGGCCGGCTCACCTCTGCCCTGGCCAATGGGGCAGTGCATGTCTTATCCCCAGCACCCCAGCTGGTCTCTCACCTGCTGGCCTGTGGCCCTGTTCCCTCCCATTTACTAAGCCTCAAGTCTCTGTGTGGATGCTGGCACATGCACTCATGCCCCCATGCTCCCAGACACCAGCCCTTTCTGAAGCCACCCTCTCTGGCAGCTCCTCACCAGGTCAGGGTCTTCCAAGTCTTCATGCTGCCCTAGTGGGCCTCTTTTGGCCCCTGGGTCCCCCTTCCCTGTCCTCTACGTTTTAGGCTGGGTAGTAGAGCCCCCAGCTTCCTGAGGTGAATGGCCTTCATCATGCCTGCCTTCAGCTCTAGCCTCTTGCTGCCCAATTCCTGACACCTCTGGCTTGGCCCCTCCACCTTTGCCAGCACAGACCTCAGGGGTAGGATGGGTCATGCCCACCTCCTTGGCAGATCTTTATTCAATGGGCTCCATCAGGGCCCTTTCCTTCCAAGTCCCACAAAGCCCCGAGCAGCTCAGGCTCACCTTCCCCAGAAGCCTCTGCACGCCTCTGGCTCCCTGGCCTGCTGCTTTCCCCAGGCTCCTGTGGCTCAAGGCAGAAACAGGCCAGTTGGCATTCAATTTTCTGCTCAGGTGGTATTTATTGAGAAACCCTGTGACCTCATGCCCTTCACAGTGTCTCTCCTAAGCCTAAGGCCCAGGGAGGCAGTGCCTGAGTTGTTTCCATTTGCCAGTGACAAAACAGGAGCAGAGGCTTCAGTGACAGCTCGGGGCCTGGGAGCAACTCCAGGAACCTGGGAGTTGTGTTCAAGCCCAGGCAGGAGCAGGTCAGGCCGTCAGTGGGCCAGATGGACCGTTGGCTGAGGGACGCACGTAAGCCTGAGATGGATCTCATGGGCCAGCTCCTGCCCTCCCTAGTAACAGAAGCAGAGGCCTGGAGTCAGGAGGCTCCCTGCAACAGCCTCACCACCCTGCAGAATTGGGAAACAGCCGATGGGCAACAGCTGTTGACCTCTTCTAGGGTTTTCTTCTGTTTCTGTGCTGTGTCCCCTTCCCTTATGGAGAAATGCTTCTGCTGAACGAGTCTTTGCTAGGGGAAGGGTTAGTGCTGAGCTACTGGGTGGCCTGCTCCAGTGGGCGCTTTGGGACATAGTACAGTTGGGACAGTGTCAGAGCCAGGTAAGATAGAGGAGGGGCAGCCAGGCCCCATGCCCCAGTCCTGCCCTTCAGGGTAAAACTCAGGAGGGTCTTCGTGGAGCATCCCTGGAAGCCCTGCTGTTCTGGGCACTGCAGCGAACACAGGGGCTGGAAGGTGGTGCCCACCTTGGGCCTCCCCTCAGGAGGGCTGTCCAGTGGGATGTGGCTCATGACTGCTGTCACATGTGAGTGGAGAACCCTGCCCTTGTGGGACTGGGGGCCTCATGGAGGGTGCGGCCCATTCTGCTTGGTTGGGGGTGGGTGTTGTTTAGGATTGGGTGGGAAGAGTGGTGCGAGCAGGTGCAGCGAGGGGTATGGCCTAGCCCCAGTCTTTAAGGGTGGAGTTGGAAGGAATTGGAGGCTCCAGCCTAGGACAGAACCCAAGGAGGTCCTGTATTTAGCTGCAGGGGACTCAGAATTGTGAAAAGCACCCACCTGGGGCAGGCCCCTAGGCCTTTGGCTCATCCATCCCTGCCCGCTTCTCACTCCCATCCCCAGCACAGCCCAGGCTGAGCCTCAGAGGAAACTAGACAATATTTTTAATTATTGTATAATTAACATCCAGAAATTAGGAGGAAGGGCTTGGTCCTTATTAATATCCTCAGCCTATTTAGCCCCAAGACTTGAAACTAATTTTCATCTGGACCAGGATTTGTAGTAAATTCCCAAGGCTCCATACTAATAAAAAGTTTCTGGCTGCCTTTTGGGCCTTAGCCCCATCCCCTAGGCTTGGCTCCCCAAATTTGCAGAAATATATGATTTCCTGGGGTGAGAAGGGATGGATCTTAAAACTCATGGTCTCCATCCTAGGAGACCGTGCAGGCAGGTCCTGGAGCCCTCAGGAACTAGTACTTCAGTTAAAATACACAGTCTGTTTTTAGCTCACTTTTTAACTGAACTTTTTAACAGTATGCAATGCTGTTGGAAAAGCTTCAACTCGGGTATTAGAACCTATCCCCTCTCTGGAAATCTTTCTTAGAGTGAGAATTTTAGAGCTGAGCTAGGTTGGGGGGCTAGACAGAGGGTGGTGGGGTTGGGGTGAGGGGGATATGGGAGGAGGGTTCTCCCAGCAGTCCCAGGAATGGCCTGAGCTCAAGTCCTACCTAGCCCAGGGCCCCTTCCAGTCACTACGATGTCTTCTTATATGGCTCATGTGATTTGGTAGTACCCTTGCAAAGCAAGGCCTCCTGCCCTGCCTTTCTGTGCAGTAACCCTACCCAGGTCCATCATTTGCTCTGCCTCTAAGTCCTCTTTATGCAGGGTGCGATGATGGCCTTTATATCTCTCTGTTTAAGCATCTAGGAGGAAAACTTCCTTGTTTCAGGAAATCTATGGCTTTGTGGAAATTTCTAATTAATATTGTCAGACCGTTGGCATTTCTCTAATTTCTTTCAACACCTTGGCCTTCAGTTATTTGTGTGGGGTTATTGCTATCACCATGTATATTTATTTCTCATTTTGCTCTCCCATATCTCATTTTATCCTCAGAACAACCTGGAGGGCAGTCCTTGCTGTCCTTTTTTTAAGACAGACAAACTGAAAACCAGAGAATCTAAGGGCCCACCAGGGTCAGCCAGCAGTAGTTCCAGGACTTGAGCGAGGGTCTCTTTGCTATATCGTCAGTCCCTGTCACCTTCCCCTCCCTTCCATTAAAAAGAGTCTGTGCTTGGAGTCAGGTCCTGTGAGGTAGGATCAGGGTGGATGAAAGTCACTCATCACTCCTGCTCTCTAGAGTTCATGGGGAGGACACAAGTGATCTTTTCTCATTTCTCCTCTTCGTCTCCTTTGGCCTCTTATCTACAGAGGTCTCAGCGGGTAAGTGTAGGTGAACTGCCAAGGGCTCAAGTCATTGTTCTAACTCCACGGTGGACGCTGGGAGAGAGCCTTTCTGCCGGTGAGCACGTGACCCCCCAAGGAAAGGAACCCTAAACTTCTGGGGCCAGCCAGCTTCCTTCTCACTCTAAGAGGCTGCTTGTGCCTCAGTATCCCCGGCACCTGGTCTCACCATGCAGTGAAGCAGGACTGCAGACCTAGCTTGGAGAATATCCAAACCAAATCTCCTGGATGTGGCTTCCAGGTCAAACCCTTCCAGGTCCTAAGGGTTTAGCCTGGAGAAGCTGTCCTTGGCTGAAGGTTGGAACTGGCCAGGCTCTCTCCAGCCCACATGTCTTCACATTCAGGGTGAGGAAAGGCATAATTGTGTCTGGGAAGAGCCCTGGTTTGACACTAGCCACGGAGCTGTAATTATCGTCTTTAATTACACGATGGTGCCTTTGCCAGGAAGATGTGCTTGACTATTATCTCCTCTTGACAAGGGTGGTTCTGTCTCCTTTGTAAGTACTGATGTAAACACACAGGCTCACTTGAGATTTCAAAATTACCAAAGAACCATTCAGAGTTGCCTACCTAAGGACCCCTGCCTTTTGGAGGAGAAAAGGACAAGCCAGGTATCATCCATGCAAGTGCTTTCTTGCCTGCTGATGAAAAAGAATGTCCACTTCCCTCTGAGTTGACTTGATCTCTGAAACTGAAAAAAAGAACACACTTTTCCCTGATGCTTAAAAGAAAGAAAACAGGAAGAGCAAAAAGCCATGTAACAACAACATGTGTGTTTACATACCAAGCACATCCCTGCTTATTTGATTCTCACACCACCCTGGCGAGGTAGGCGCAGGGCATGTGGTGCTATCTCCATCGTATAAATGGTGAGATGAAGTCTCAGAGAGGATACGGGACTTTCCCTAAGTCACACAGGAAACCAGGACTAAAGCACCCTGACTATAAGGCAGGCTTTGGCACCTGCAGGGCAGTATTTCGGTTGATTTTGTGAGCTCCCTCAACCCCAACTCGCTCTGGGGCTCATGTGGCAAGTAAAGCCCCTCAGCCTTGAGGGGTTTCTGAGGGCCAAATGCCATGCACTATATAGGACTGAATTCAGGGGCAGCCCCCAAAGACTTCAGAGGCCAAATCACACTACATTCTCCAGTGGACTGTACAAGTTAGCCAGCGTTACAGACAGAATCAGCCCACCCTGCATTGGAACAGCCTTACTGGGGAATCAGCACACAGAGCAGAGGATGGGAGGCTCAGTAGAATGCACCCCTGCCCCCCAGGCTCTGCTCACCACACTGGGTCAGCGTGAAGAGCAGGCCGCCCTGAAGACCCATGAGTGCAGGGCCTTCCAGGGTCAGTTGGTGCCTTCCAGGGTCAGTTGGTCAACATGGAGAAACAAGGGCAAGATAGTGGGCAGTGGCGAAATGCAGATTCCTAGGCCCCATCCTGTAGTGGCTCTCACTAAAGCCCAGGAACCTGAATTACATGGCTCCATGGTTCTGGGACAGATAGTCCCATGGTTAGAGAGTCACTGCTTTAGCAGAGGCCTTAGGCCTGGGGTCTCCTTCAATTCTTAAAGCTGTGGTCTGGCCTGGTCTGTTCTGGTCTGCCAGCAGTACCTGTTCTCTGATTTCTCCCTCCCTCTCTTTTCTCTCTCCACTACATGGCAGGAGGGATGGACATCCATTGTGTTGTTTCCTTGAAACTACCTGTGCAAGTCCTGAGGACCCAGCCCTGGGGCTATGGAAAGCAATGGAAACCACCCACTCAGGTGTGGTGCCTCAGCCTCATGGCTCTTCTTGTCAGCCTTCACAAAGCTGTAATTCTTACAGGAATTTTGTAAATCTCTGAATGGCCAAATAGAACAGGGCTGGGGGTAAAGGGCATGGGGTGGATAGTGGGGAGAGACATGAGTCGAAGGGTACAGGAGTGAATCCCAGCTCCTCTGAACCCTGGTTTGAGCTTGGACAAGGCATTGCCTCAGTTTCTCTGTCTCTTAACTCAAGGCTTCAACCAGATCCTGAGATGACTTTAGTGCTTTAGTGCTAACCTGCCCTGGTAGTGGGGGCAGTCACACAAAGACATACTGGCTGCACACAGGGACATAATCTCCCAAAACACTGAAACCCCCACGTGCCGCTGATGGCTTGGCTGCTGCCGAGGCTGCCTTTGTTCAGTCAGACCTCTACTCAGTATGTGGCACTTGGTGTCAGCAGCTTCCACTCAGCGCTCCGGAAACCTGTTTATGAGCTGAAGTCACACTAGCCTCCCTGGGGGATATCTTTCCGCAGAAGCCTACTTCCGAACGGGCCTAATTGCACCATGCATATGTTTAAATAATTTTTTTCAGTGTATTTTGAAGAGCTGTCATTTTGCATGTGCATCATTGGAGTAAAGTGGAGCAGCCATTTGAGCTCCTGGGCACCCTGAGTCTGCAGCAGGCTTTCTTCACGCCTTACGGGGGAGAGACCTCAGGGAGGAGAGAAGTTAGGAACTTTGAGAACGGAGTGAGAGCAGCTCACTTGCTGGTCTCAGCCCTTCCCAGATTCCTCCTCACTCTCCCTTGATGAGTTTCCCAGGACTGGCTAGATCATGTTACTCTCCTGCTTAGAGATCTCCGCTGGGTTCTACAGATGTGAGTCCAGACTTTTCCTCAAACCCTACACCTCCCCCAAACCCTACACCTCCCCCAACATCCGCCTAGAGGATTCCCAGGGCAAGGCAACACCCTAGCACCCCCTTGCTTTCCCGTGTAAATGCTCTCTGTCCTCTTGACCGAAGGGCCCTGTGATCCCACAGGGACTTTCTCCCTCTTGTTCTGTCTTGCTTTTGAGTTCCTCCAGCAGCCTGGGCAGGGCCTGAGTGACTCACAGTGGGTTCCCCAGAGCCCAACACAGAGCCTGGCTCTTGGGAAGAGCTGGTTGAAACTGGAGGAAAAACAAGCCTTTCCTCTGCTCCCATCTCAGCCTTGCCTTTGAAGTCAGTTTAATGGCCACAAACCTATTAACCATTGTACTGTTGGATTTCCTGTTTGTCCCTGAAAAATAAGCAGTCAAAATAGGATTTTGAGGACAGGCACGGTGGCTCATACCTGTAATCCTAGCACTTTGGGAGGCTGAGGAAGGTGGATTGCTTGAGACCAGCCTAGACAACATGGTGAAACTCCATTCCTACTAAAAATACAGAAATTAGCTGGGCATGGTGGCATGTGCCTGTAGTCTCAGCTACTCAGGAGGCTAAGGCAGGAGGATTGCTTTAGCCCGGGAGGTGGAGATTGCAACGAGCTGAGACCGTACCATGGCACTCCAGCCTGGGCAACAGAGCCAGACCCTGTCTTTAAATAAGTAAACAAAATAGGATTTTGAGACCATCAGAACATGTGCTGTTTGGATTTGAAAACAGGCAATGCAGAGACCATGTGTCTGGCCTTGGGGCTGGTGGGAGAGGTTGTGAGTCTCCGGGGCCCCTGCGGTTCTGGGAAGTTTACCGTTTATGGAGCCTTGGTGGTCAGGAAGCCCAGGCCAGCAGGATAGCGGTCCAGCTCAGTACTTTGATAGGGCCCTTGCCCTAGTGTTTCCCTCCCTCCTCCCTCCAAGCTGCCTGCTGCCGGCCACTGTAACTCAGAGCTCGGAGCTCAGAGCAACAGGAATGCTGTAAATCCCCCTTGTGCTCCTCTTTACAAGAAGGCATTTGGGCACAGTGGCACTTTACAAGGGAAGGCAGCGCTGCCACAGCAGAATGCAGTGAGTGCCTGTCACACGAGAGCTGTCCTGCCTCTGCCTCTGCTTGCACGACTGGACACAGCAGGTACCACTAGCCAGGAAGAAGCATCACTCTTGTTCATCCCCATCCCATTCCAGGGCCCTCTGCCCCTTAGTAGGGTCTCCTCCTGGGCCTTGGTTCCCCAGGGCCTTATCCTTTCTCCCACTTGCCCTTGTCACACAGTGAGAAGCTGCTGTCCCCCTGGACAGCTGTTGTTTGGCAAGCTGGCCATCTGCCCCAAGGTGAGGGAGCAGGGTGCCTCGGCCTCCATGTCTGTAATGTGAGAGGTACAGGGCTCCAGGCTTGAGGAGGATGGAGCTGGACAGTCCAGAAGGCCAACCACAAAGATAAGATAACTTGGGTAGCAGTCCTTTAGAGGTTTGCTCACTCTGCATTCATTTTGCATCCTCCTGTGCCAGCTCCTAAGCTAGGCCGCCAGAGATTGACATAAACGAGACCCAGGCCCCAGTGAATGTGGACTCAGGTCTGACATATCTTGAGCTTTACTTTGTGCTGTGGGCACCCCTACAGATATATTTTGATCACTAGGGTTCCCGGGGAAAAGGAGGCAGGAAAGGCTTCCAAGGAGTTGGAGCTTGGCCTAAGTCTTGAAAGATGAGCAGCCTAGGAGGGAAGGGGCTGTCTAGGCAGCAGTCTAAGCTCAGACCTGGAGGAGAGGACTAGCTAGCGGCTCTGGGAACCCACTGGTGTTTCATAGGTGCTGAGATGACACCTGATTTGGGTCCTGAAGTTAACTCAGAGGTGGTGCCATGTAGGGAAGAGGGAAGGGATGGCTTTGCAAATGGAGAGACAGCCTGTGGCTGGCATGGCTGCAGCTTCAGGAACTTGCAGAGTGGAGATATGTGACTGTCAAGATGCTCGATGCCCAGTTCATAAATGGCTCTCCAAGCCCCCATGGGGACTTGGACTGTATCCTCAGGACTATCTGAAGTTACTGAACCTTCACCTGCTCCCACCTACCTCCCGCCTGTCAGCTTACTATTTCCCTGACTCAAACTATTGAGCTCATTGAATTCCCACTGACACCAGGCAGGCAGACAGATTTACCACATAGAGCCTCTGCCTTCAAACCTGGGTCAAGTTCAAAAATTAGTCCAGGATAAGGTAGATATGGAGAGTTGCAGGGCAGTTGGAGCCAGCCCTGGAAATGTCTTAAGGCCTTGGGTGATTAATTAACATATAAATCGGACAGATAATTAGTGCTACTTTGGAGCACCAAAGGGACAGAATTCTTCTCCAGGATGGTTAGGGACTACACTAGGAGGTGGTGAGATCTAGGTCCAACCTTGAATGCCTTTGGGTGTTGAATGAGGAGCTGAAAGGAAGGCCATTGCTGGGGAGGTGGGGACAAGCAGGCTGCACCCTTGGCTCAGAGCCGACACATCAGTGGACACTCCGTGCCTATCCAGCATTAGGAGATGGGGAGCCAGCCAGGCTGTAGAGATAAGGGCTCTAGACTCTCACCTAAGTGTTCATTGACTCACCAAATATTTTTTAAAAACTGCCGCTTTATTTAGGCTCTGGGCTCCTATGTACATGATCACAGAATTCTGCATACATATAGGCCTGAGTGAAGGACCCTCCACCCGAGGGCTGGACAGGCTGCAAGGCTGTCCTCCATACATGCAATTTCTCCCTGTTGAGCAAGCTTCAACCATGAGAATCAGCTAAGCTCAGACTTTATGATCCAGGTGAGAAATAGGAAAGTTCATCCTGGGTGTGAGGGAAGAGGAAGGGTCCAGATGCTCCGGGAAATGAAGTTGCTTCATCCAGCCTGTGGACAGATGGCCTGGCAGCTTCTTCGGAAGGCTGCACTGTGTCCACTCCACCTGCAGACCCTGGCTGACTGTGAGCACACAGAATGGCTGCAGTCATTTAGGCTTGGACATTATTCAAAACCACCATTTCAGGTTGTCCACCACATAGAAAAATCTCCACAAAGCACCCTGGTACATTTCATTTTAAGCAGTGGGAGCTTCCTGGTGAACCCTGTAAGAGGAATTAGTTGCAAATTAAACCCCCAGGAAACAGAATGATTTGACCTATTATATGGCATTGTTGGGTGGAAGCCAATTGGAAGTTGAAAGACACCTGCCTAAGATGGTGATTTGGGTCTCAGAGCAATTGATCTTAAACTCCTCTGGCAGATGTAAGGGAGCACCATCAAGGGTCCTCAGAATGGTGACCTTCTCTGCAGAATAGATGAGAATGATGGGAATCAGCCAACATGGAATGAGGTCCCTGCAGGTGCTGGTGGTTTTCTGGATAAGTTTGTCTTCCTCCTCATTTTGAGCACCCTTTGTCTCATTGCTCCCTCTGCCCCATAATATTCCTTCTGCTATTAATATACATGGCATTGACAGTGAGGAAAGCAAGCTAGGAAGGAGGCTTTCCTCCCGGCCAGCAGAGGAGGAATAAGCGTATAATGGCCTTTGGGTTAATGCGAGACTCAGCAGGACCTCTGAGGTCCTCTGCTCCCCAGGCTTGGAGCATGCTGTGACCCAGGCTGGCCTGTGGAGGAGCCTTTTTCCAGACTGACAGCCAGTGGCCAGCCCCTCTGCCAGAGTTGGGAAAAGCAGGGCCTTCTTCCCATCAGCCGTGGGCACGTGGCTGAAATATCAGGCCCAGAGGCCAGCAGGTGTACACAGCAGAGGAGGGCTCATGCTAAGAGGAGTTTAAAGATTCCTTGGGAGGATGGGGCAGGACTTCCCCAGGGAAGCGTCCACCTCTTTGTCTCACCAGGACAAGGATGAGTTGGATGAGCTGGAGCCTCAGCGGTCATGTGGCCTGTGGCTGGTGCCTCCCTCCATCAGGAGACGTGAGTGAAATCTGAAGTGCATGTCTGTGTGGTGGCAGCTGTAACGTGACAGCTGCCGCCCGCCCGCCCTTCCCCCAGCCTGTTCTCAAGTGAGGAAGCTTGTCTGGCAGTGCCAACTCAGCTGTCATCCCACATCAGTTTTTGTAGATTCCAAGCTAGTGGAAAAGTGCCAAACGCAAGCAGATGATATACTTAATGAAACACTCAGGAAGAACGCTTCATTTCCAGATATTAGGGGTTTGTGTGTCATGTTTCTGGGCCCTGGAATCAGATCTTGCCTTCTCAGCATTGTCACAGTGTACAGGGTTCCTCACCTTTAGGGGAATATAAAAAAGACTGCATGAGGTAGAAGTTTATGCTGTCGAAGGGCAGCATACATGACTGATATAATGAAAAAAAATGAAATGAGACGTCTTCTCCATGTGGACATAAACTGATTGACTGGGAGTCATTTATACCAGATGTGAGCTAGAAGGAAGGTTATGTGTGTGTGCACTCTGTGTATATTCCTCATACGTAACATCTGCATGGAGTTTTATGGTTTACAGGGCTCTTTTATATACCCTTTGTTTGGTTTTATTTTAAACAGCCCCATGAAGTTGATATTAATATCCTCCCCACTCCACAACAGAGGTTGCCAAGGCTCTGCTGGGGCAAATCACTCCTCAGAGGGCATAGGCTGAGAGGTGGCACAACCAGGGTTTGAACCTAAGTCTTCTGAGTCCAGTTCCAAAATGTACTTACTGGTATTTGGAATTGCCAGTGTATTTCATGTGTGGAATTGAAGGAGAAGTAATCAGTCAGTTGAGTTATATTTGTATTTATTCTAACCTGATCAAGTTTGAATGAGGAGTAGGACAGAAGAGAATAATATTTATATGCACAGTGCTCTTCATTGGTTACTCTTTGAGATCTGCTGACGTCGTTTGGCTTTTGAGGATCTGGAAGCACAGAGAAGTTGGAGGATTTGCTGGGGTCACGCAGCTTGGAGTGGCCAGCTGAGGATCCAATCCAGATCTCATGGTCACTTTCTACTCTCTCACACTGCAGTGTTGCTATAACCATAAATAAATATAAGGTAACAAAGGGATAATATGAAAAAGGGTGGTTCTGTAAATAAATGAAACCACTGAGGTCAATCAGCCACCTATGGTTCGAACATTTTGTAGACAAGCTGGAAAGGAGAGGGACAGCTGTCTGGGGTCTCCCAGCAGCAGCCAGGGCCAGGTCCTGACCCCAGCCTTGTTCTCCCATTCCCCTCCTGGGTCTCAGCTTCAGGCATTTCTTCACAGTCTTAAGTTTTTTTAGGTCTCTGAGCCAATATACAGGAATACTCTTGGAGTTGATCTCAGTTCTGTATTGCAGTCTTCCTAGTTAGAAGAGAACCTTAAAATTCCAAAGTTCAGACAACTCTTCCCTACCAAGTGAGGCTGTAATCTCAGGCTTATACAGAAATTCTATATTTCTCAGCAGTGAAGTCCACATTCGCACTCCCAGTTATTTTTAGGTGGGAACTTCATATTTTCTGTTTCATACCACATTGGCTTCCTTGCCTAACAGGTTATATTTTCTGTCTTGCAGTAGTGTTGGAGCGGCCTTATTTTTAGCTTGGTTCATTTTTTTTCCTGTGACTTCCGTTTTCTTGTTTAACACACACACACGCGCACACACATTCACATAGGCATCCGTTCCCGTCGCACTTTCCCTGCCAGTTTTCATTCACTTGGTCACAAGACTTCATCCAAAAGGCAAGTGTTAAGCCTCATCTCATTCCAGGAAGAAAGGAAGAGGAAGAGCCTTCAGCAAATCTCAAGAATCTACTTGTGACATGGGCTGCTGCTTCTCATTTTATTAAAATCTCTTCAGCTGTCACTCACCTCATCTGCCGCTAACTCCTGGTTGAGACACTCTCTTGTGCACACCTGATAAGAAATGCTTTTGAGCCCCCTTGCAAAGAAAACCTATTGACTAGGGTTGGGGGGGGATGTTCTCAGAGGCTTGTGTATTAGGCTTCTAGAGGGCCTAGAGTGTGAGAGTGCTTGTGTGTGTGTGCGCGCACGTGCGCATGCGCATGCATATATGTATGTATATGGTGCTCATCAGACCCTGTTTCCATCCCTGACACCTGTAGCATTTGATTCTGGCGGCAGGCACCCCAGGGAGGGCACTTGCCTGTGGTCCCATGGTTGATGACCCTTGTTGGTGCTGTTCAGTTCATTTACACCATGCTATATGGTGGCAGGCCAGTAGTGAGAATCCAGTCTAAAATATTAGGACACAGCCCGGGAACATGACTTACCCAGTCCCCTGCATGGGATAAAGAACGGGGAAGACCCCAAGCCTCTGCTCATCCTGAGTCCTCAGAAGCCTTCAGTGGCTCCCTGCTGCCCCTCCACTGAAGTGTGAGCCTCTTTAGCCTGGTGGTGCTTGAGCAGGTGACACACTTAACTAATAGCCACAAAGAAGACCTCATTTTTAGGCCGTGAGCTTCTCTGAAGCTGGACCAGGTTTTTATCTTCTATTTATTTATTTATTTGGTTGGTTGGTTGGTTGGTTGGTTGGTTTTGAGACGGAGTTTTGCTTTTGTTGCCCAGGCTGGAGTGCAATGGCACGATCTCAGTTTACTGCAACCTTTGCCTCCCGGGTTCAAACAATTCTCCTGCCTCAGCCTCCCAAGTAGGTGGGACTACAGGCTCATGCCTGGTTAAATTTTGTATTTTTAGTAGAGACGGTGGTCTTGAACTCCTTCCTCTTTTTGGTTAGGTGGTCTTGAACTCCTTCCCCTGCCTTCCAAAGTGCTGGGATCACAGGCATGAGCCACCCTGCCCTGCTGGACCAGGTTTTTATTGTTCAGTGCTTTCCCATAAACCAGCAACACCGGGACTCAGGAGGGGAGGAGTGAACCAGTGAAGCGATTTGTTGTTGACCTCCTTTTTCACCTCCTCTAGCCACATGGGTTTCCAGAGTCAGGACTCTTAGTCTGTCTCCTGAAGCACGTTTCTGGTATGGGAGCCTGGAACCCCCTGTTAATCTGTGGAAAAGAACCTGTCGTGGTGCTGCCTGTAACCCCTTCGGATCCCTCAGCGAGGCATTGCCTGTTCTGAGCAGGCCTCTGATCTCTTTTACCCCCAGGCACACCTCCCTCCACAGAGCATGGCCTGCGGGTTATCATCCATTTCAGTTTGGTTTTTGGCTCAGGCTGCTGATCAAAATTAGGTGATGGGCATCATTTTGCCTTGTGACTTAGAAGAGAGGGCATCAAGCGTCCAGGAGAGTGGGGCCCTTTGCAGTGAAACCATGGGTCCCAAAAAGTTGTTAGGCCTGTCCTCGTAGCTGCGTTTTTAGGGAAAGCTTTCATCATTTCCGTGCTGAGACCATAACATGGTTCTTTAATGTGTCTTTAAATATCAAGTACCTCTGTGGATCACCGGGGTCATGTTTGAGGGCATGTTAAAATTAAAATGTACAGCTTGGAGTTAAAAATCAAAACATAATTTGTTCCAAATTTAATTTCCTAAACTTCAAAATGTTTGAACATTACATAAAGTGAAAACTATTTAGAAATACTCATGAAAGCAGAAGCCTGTTTGACCGGAATATTAAGTAGAAGTTGATGGAATTCCATGTCACAGTGCTCCCTGAAAGCATGGAGCCATTAGGAGGGCATGACAGACTCTGATCAGGAAAGCCGAGGTGGGAAATCCTAGCTCTGCCATTCCAGCTCAGGTATCTGCCCTCTCAGTCTCAGCCTCAGTTTCCCCATCTGTCCTAGGGGTCATGTAGAAGTACTGGCACTGTGCCTGGTTCCACACAGGCCCTCAGCAAGTGCTGTCACAGATACTGATAATACCAAACAGTAAAGTCTTCATGTGCCACATTTGCAACTTCCTTTTAAAATTTTAATTATCACATTAAGTAATACGTGCTCTGAGTAAGAAGATTCAGCATACAGGTATATAGGGGGTAAAAAGTGAAATCTCCCTCCAGAGACCAGGATTGTTAATTATTTGTTATGTATTCTTATAGCCCTTTTCCCATTTGCTTACAAAAATACACATCTGTGCATATCTACAAACACAGTTTTCAACATAAATGCTATCCTACCAAACATTGTTCTTCATCACAGATGTTGTCTGAGGTCATTCGTTGTATTGAATGATTCCGTGTGACTGTAGCACAGCGTATTCAGTTGTTTTCCTCTTGATAGACTTGTAGCTTATTCCTAGTCTTTGGTCCCTTCATTCTGGGCTCCCTTCATTCTGTAGCAAACACTTGTGAGCATTTATTTCTGCCTGTTGGTCTAGATGATATTTCTGTAGAGCAGGTTTCTAAAAGTGGAAATTTAGGCCACAGAATATTTAATTTTTGTTAGCTCTACCAATGTTACCTCTGAAAAGGGCATTTCCAGTTTATACTCCTTCAGCAGTCTATGAGTACAGTTCCCATCTTAGAATAGACCAATGTTTTTTAAAACATTTGTTTTCTGTGCTAAATTCTGAATTTGCAAAAGGCTGTTTATGTTATTCCTTCACCAGTATTTACTGAGCATCTGTGGAGCTGGATTCTGCTCTGGGAATCACCGGGGATGTGTTAAGATGAATTCAACTGGCACTTGAACCCCAGAGGTGGAGTGGGGTGGGAGCTGAGCACACGAAGGGCTAGAAAGTGGTAGAAGCCTCAAGGCTTTCAGAGTGGGGAAGACGTGATGGTGAGGGTGTTAGATTCCTCTCTGGGCCCCTCTGCCACCCCTCACACTCTTGACAGTTTAGAGTACCTGGTGCTCTAAACTGAACAGAGGCTGAGACTTGAAGCTGGGGGCAGCAGCATGTCAGGTGGGGGCACCTGGAAGGTAGCCCATTGGAACAGACCACCAGAGGAGATGAGGCCGTCTCTACTCAGGGTGCCTCTGCTCTCGTGTTCTGGAAGTTGATGACATCTTTCACGCAGTATCGAACCTTTTCAGGGCCCTGAGGGAGGGGCTGTTCTTGTTTCTTCCAGCACAGAAATGTTCATTATCCAGATGTTTCCTTCCACATAATTCTTGGGATGATTGTGTGGATGGTGTCATCTATAACAGCTATTGACAGGAAAGAGCCACCTATGAGTAGTTTTGAACAGTGACAGCTTTCAGGTTCCTGGCTCTTCTGCATGGCATCCCACACACACCTTTTCCTTCCCCATTCCTCTTTAAAACAAAAGCAAAAACAGCAACAATAAAATCACTTTAATAGGGTTTCATGTGCTGTAACACCAAGACATACAAGATGTGCTGTTTGAGTTGGAAAGGCCATTAGGTTAGAAAGTGGAAGACACAGGAACTGTGCCGACTGCTTACTCCTCACTCTGTGACTTTGGCAAGACCCTTCAATTTTGAGTTTCCTGTTTACCCACTTAAATGGAGTTGCCAGCTCTGTCTGCAATCAGTTGGTTGCAAGAACCAAATAATGCAAAGGGTTTTGTGGACCATGAAGTGCTATGTGAAAGGAGGGAGTCTTGCTGTTAGTCGCTTTTGTTAAATTTTGGTTGGCCCCTGGCATGCTATCGATTGCTCCTGGGCCAGGTAGGGAGCCCCACTGAGATCCTTGGTTTCATGGCGGCTTTGCTACTGTTCAGTCTCCTGAAGGTAGAATTGCAGGTCCTCTTAGGGAACTGCAGTTCGGCTGCGTGACTCATTCTTTGGGGTCAGGAGAAGTGGCAGGCAGATTCTTCTGTATTGTGACAAAGGTAATTCCTCATAGACTTGACTGAGTTGATCCAGTGTTTGCAGGAACTTTGTTTCCTAAGAAGAGAAACAGACAAGCAGCCTGTCTAAGGACCAAGTTCTGGGTGTGTAGGGAAAGGGCTCTCCATAGAGGCATGTATTAGGGTTCTCCAGAGAAACAGAGCCAATAGAATGTGTGTGTGTGTGTGAGAGAGGGTGTATGTGTGTGCGTGTACAAAGAGATTTATTAAAAAATGGATTGTGTGATTATGGAACCTGGCAAGGCCCAAGATTTGTTGGTAAGTTAGTAAGCTGGAGACTCAGGAGAGCCAGTAGTTTTCTACCGGTCTAGGACTAAAGGCCTGGGAACCAGGGGAGTCAATAGCATAGTTCAAGCAAGTCTGAAGGCAGGAAAAAGGCCAGTGCCCCATGTCAAAGGCAGTCGGGCAGGAGAGTTCTCTCTGACTCGAGAAGGTCAGCCCTTTTGTTGTGTGCTGGCCTTCAACTGATTACATGAGGCCCATCCACAACAACGGGTATGCAATCTGCTGTGTTCAGTGTACCAGTGTAAATGTTGATGTCATCCAGAAACACTCAGAATAATATTTGACCATATATCTGGGCACCCCATAGACCAATCAAGTTGACACATAAAAGGAACTATCCCAGGCAGGAAAGCACAGCTTTGGATGAGAGAGAAGCTTCTAAGTGGGTAGGGTTCTTGTTGCACATGGTGCTTGGATTTTAGAGGAGTTTGCTGGAAGGTGGTCAGGATGCCAAGGTCAACATCCAGCATGCTGGTAGGATGGGTGCTCTCGAGAGGTCCCTTTCCTCCTTAACTTCCTGGAGCCACAGTATTAGCAAGTTATAAGAACAAGAAGCCGGTGTGAATATCCACTTGTTATAGAAACAGACTGAGGAACCCTGGAGTCAGAAATGCCTCTGAGATCATCTGGTTCAACCCCTCTCATCTTACCTGCGAGGAATATTAGCCCTGATGGATTGGGCAGCCTGCCAAGGTCACACAGCCGGTGAGCGAGGAGCCAGGCTGATCCTGGGCTGGCAGCTTTGTCATTATTATCCAGAAGGCAAAGGTTGTCCCTCAGTCCCTGGGGGGATTAGTGCCTCTCTTGAAGCAGTTCCAAAGTGAGGAACGCTGGGCAGAGCACATGCCAAGATCTCAGCAAGTCATTTCCACTGAGGCAGCTGTGCTGGGTACTGGGCACAGTGCCAACAGCACCCCTCAGCTTGAGGAGTGACCCTGTGACTAGCCCCAGGTATACAGGTGGGGTTTGACACTTTGGTTGGGAAGTCTGGCGTTTGGTGATGGGGTACATCAGCCCAGGTGACCAGGGCCCGCAGGGTATATAGGTAGAGGGGAGGGTCCTCTTCAGCAGAGGGCCCTGGCTCTACTCTAGGCAGCTGGTACCCTGCCCCCACTGCCAGTTTGTAATCACTAAGCACCAGCCAGACTAGCACCAGCAGCCTGTGTTGGCCGCCACTCTGATGCATCTAGAACGTGCTGGATACTTCTTTGGTGGGCCACTCTCTTCTTCATGATACCACCCTTTGCTTTCCTCCCAGGCCGCCTGACCTTGGTGAATCCTGTAGGGACCTGCATGTGGTCAGATAAACCTCAGGGTTAGAGGGCAGGGAGCCTGAGATGACCTCAGTGACCCTGACTAATGACCAAACTGACAGCCAGAGGAAGGAAGTGACTTACCTGGTGTCACTCAACCTGGTAGGACCAGGACGGAGTTGGAGCTGGGACTGTGACTGTGCTCTTCCAGCGCCTGCCTCCTTTGCTGACCTGAATGTGTCTGTGTTCTGTTGTCCCTGGTGGAGTAGAGGGAGCACTGACTTGGGCTGGAAAGGCAGTATAGATGGCTGCACAGTTAAGGACATGGGTTTTGGAACCAGGATGCCTGTGTCCCTTCCTAGCTTGCCCCGTGGCTTTCCATAAAATGGCAGTGTCTGTGGGGGGTACCACCTCATGGGGTTGTTTTGAGAGTTAAACGAGAAGCTGGATGGCATGCACTTAGCACAGACCCCAGCATGCACTGTTTCTAGAATGGTTATTACTGCACTATTGACAGTTAACTCTTTGAGACCTCGGCCCAACCACTGAGCCCTGAGCTATGGACTTGTAGCAGTCAGGTGAGGAGGGGCCTGGATGCACTATAGCCCCTCTGAGACTCACTCTCTTCTGTGAGAACTGCAGATGAAGCTGCTTGGTGAGCAGGGAAGCCCCTGCAGTGTAAGGGGTGTAGCTGTGACTGATCTGGCATGAAAAAGCCTGTCCCCCGTGGCTTTACCTCATTAGCGTGTGGCCCCAGGCCTCTCTGGAGGCAGACCTCACCATGTCCAACAGGCTGGAAGATTGCGTGCTTGGGACACTGGCCCTTTGTGCAAGTGTGGTCTGTTGAGACTCAGAAGGCACAAGCCCAGACGCACATCTGTCTCCATGTGCCGCAGCCCTGCGAAGTCCCTGCTGGGCCCTGGCTCTGTCTGCAGCACAGGGGTCCAGGGATGCCTGCCCTCTCACGGTTGGCCTGAGGATACTGGTGCCACCGGTGCTAGCCTGACCCCTGCTCGTCATCCCAGTGGATGTGCCAACATTTCCATGTCTGGGGGCTGTTCACAGGAGCATGTTTTGCTTTTTGGAGCTGTGGGTATTCTCTATCCACTTCTTGAAAGGGTGGAGCCCTAATTGTTTGGAGGACCCACCCTTCAGATTATCAGCATCTGTTACACACCCCCATGTTTCCTGCCAGCTTCTTAAAGGATTTTGTGTATGTGAAGCACAAACCCAATGAGAGCTCCTGGTCCACCTTTCCCAGTTGCCTGCCTTTAGAGGCTGCACCCCTAGTCCTGGCATCCCAGACCCACCATAGCCTGGCCCACCTTCTTTGTGGACCTCTCCCGGTTTCCTTCTACCTCATGAGCATTAGGATTAAGGCAACAAGAACCCTGATTTTTACCTCCACATCCCTCAGCTTTTCTCTCTCCCAGACTTGGTTTATGCTTGTCTTGCCCCAGTTACCCTTTCTCCTGATAGCCTCATCTTCCTCCTCTCCTTGAGAGCCTTCTACACCTGGGCCTACCTCTCGCTGTTGGTGACACCAAGCAGGTTTGTTGGCATCCCTGGCCCTCAAGGTGTCTCCTTGCATAAGGACTTGAGAGTCTGTGAAATGCCACCTCCTCCCTGAAGTTTTACTGAATCCTATGGCTGGATTTCCTTTTTGCCTCCTCCAAGCTGCTAGTACATGCAGCATTCTAGGGCCCTGGGAGCCAGGCAGAGCTAGGCTGTTCCTGGCTTAGCCTCTGCTTCTGTCTGAACCTCGGTTTCTGAATTATAAAATGCAGTATAACTCTTGCCTCTCTGTCTTGAGGATGAGGAGTAGTTTACTTTCAATGCCCAGGACATAGGGCAGTGCCTGATGCAGGCAGGTGCTCGCTGTCCAACTGAGTGCTTACAGACGGTGGTGTCCCAATTCTTCTGCTAAGCCACAAGTTCCCCAGGAGGCAGGAGCCTCATCTAATGTCACAGGAGTGCTCAGCATCTGGCCTCAGGTCCAGCGTGGCACATAGTAGGGGTCAGTAGGTATTCGAGGAAGAAGAGCAGGCACCCCACTTGCCTGTGTAGTTGGATCTTGCAGTGAACAAGGATTTAAAAGCAGCATCCTAAGTAGAAGTGGTTCCTTTTAAAGGAGGCCCATTTGCCCCCTGACTTTGGCCCCCAGAGCAGCAAGCACGCCTCAGTGAGTCTCCACGGGGGATGGCGCCAGAACGTGGGCCTGCAGCGGCTCCGAGGCCTCCCACGTGCAAAGTCAGTCACTGGAAGATGTGGAGTGACGGCAGACCTGAAGGACACAGCATATCATTGCAGACAGCGCTCCACGGCAAGGTCTGCATGGCCTTTTAACTCACAGTGAAAGCAATTGTCATCAAGTTTGCAGACTTTGTCTCCCCTCTAGTAGTTCAGGCCAGAGGGGATCACGAGAAGAGCCTGTCCTATACCAATGACCAATGGAAGGGAGCAAACCCAGGCACCCTGACTCCAGACTTGGGCCTTTCCCTCGCCCTAGGGCTGAGCATAAAAGATCCAGCAGTACAGGTTCAGCTGGGCAGCCACAGGCCCTGCTCTGCTTCCGAGGTGACCATTGTTCTTGTCCCACAGCCATGCTTCCTTGGTGCCCGCCCTCTGTTGCATGGGTGTTTCTGTGCTTGCCTGGAAAAGGGATGGCAGAAGAACTCCAATTAGTCAGTCTCCTGGCTCCTAGACAACTCCGGAAACTAGACTAGATAGAGGAGGAGGAGGTGGGGCCTCCTGCTGTGTGACGGTTGGGGTGACTCCAGCTCCATCTCTGAGCTGCCCTGCCCTGCCCTGCTCTGCTCTGCCCTTGCTGCCTGCAGCACACCCCAGAGGCCCCCTGCTGCCCTGTGTCACTCACCCTCAGCCTCCAAGGGACCCCTGAATTCAGATGTTGAAGCACCCTGGTTAGGGGGAGTATTCTTCTCCAGCAGATGTTTGAATGGTTTAGATGGGGAGAAAGTCGTCTCCCTTTTGATGTGGCACCTGGAACTTGGCTGGTTTTGTCACGTGTCTAATTAGGAAGAGCTGCCTGACTCCTGCGGAGCTTATCACTCACTCCCTGGTGCCCGGTGTGCTTTTAACACCTCAGGGAGCTGACTGCAGTAGATGCCCTGGCCCCTAGAAGACCAGAAACAAGACAGACTGATTTAAAAAAAAAACGATGCCAGAAAGCATCCGGGACAGGCCAGAGAGCCCTGGTCCAGGAGTTAAGGAGCCTGGGACCTAGTCCTTGTGAATTTCTTCCCTTCCCCAGGCCTCAGTTTCCCCTCGGTAAAGTGGGGTGACTAGACAGACATGAGATCTGCCCTGTGTGTTTTACGTTATTTACAAGAACTGACCTGGATGGCTCCCACGTGGGGGTGTTAGATTGTCAGAGTGCCACTGAACTTGGGAGCTGTGGACCCAGAAATGGGAACAGACTCCAAAGGTGGTGTTGGGACCCTCCCATTCCCAGTGCAGTGTTGGCCTCTGAGGCTTTAGTCAGCAGGCCTTCTGTGGCTCTACGGGCAAAGACAGCCTCAGAGGAAGAAGAGTCTTGGAGATGGGGCTCCAAAGAAGCCTCCAGGAGTGGTCATTGAAATGATAATATTAACTAAGCGCCTTCTACACCAGGCACTGTTCTAAACATTTGATGTATGTGGATTCATTTAATCCTTGTAACATCTTTCTCCAGTGGGTGCTGTTGTCTCCCCTCTAGAGATGAGGAAACTCAGGTAACTTGCCCCAGGTCACCTGTTGGAGCCAGGATTTGGGCCAAACTGTCTGGTGGGATCAGCGTTTTCACCCAGCTCACAGTGCTGCTGTGCCTGTTGGTTCACCTGGACTGAGGACTTTGCCTCCCTCCAGGTGGTTGGCATGGGGCAGCCCCAGTCAGTGGCAAGTGCATCATTCCAGTAATGCTGCCCTTCCTGACACCACTGGGGCCCTGAGCCTAATCTACCTGCAACCCTCAGGCACAGATCCCTGGTGGCTGCAAAGCCATGTGAAAGAGATCAGATGGCACAGCTGGCATGCCCACCACTGGCAGAATAGAGGTTTCTTGGGCTGAGAGGTAGTGGCAGGGCCTGGGAATGGAGAGCCATACAATTCTACCTAGCTCTGTCACCCTGTGATTAGGGAGTGGTATGAATCCCAGACAAGCCCAGCTGGGAAAATTAGAAGTGAAGGGCCTACAGGTCAGCGTCTGTCATTTCCAGCAAGGCTCCTGCACGTCTGTGCCAGTCTGTGTCCTGCCCAGCTCCTCCCTGCCCAAAAGTTCCTGGGCATTGCTCCTTAAATATTCCTGGGGGTGCTTCCCTGCAGTACTTAAGGCCATCCAGAAACCCACTTCCATCGGCCTCCAGCATCATCTCCCACAGGAGATGATCAAGTCCCCAGCCCTCCTAAGCAACCTCATGTACACCTTAAGCTTCTGATTCCCTGGGCCTCTGCCTCAGTTATTCCTCTGTCTGGTACCCATTTTCTCTGCCACATCACTGTGTCATGATCTTCTGTTTAAATTCTTTAAGGCCCTCTCAGATTCCCCCAATGGAAACCTGTCTCTTAGTTATCAAATTGTGGTATCAAGTCTGTTCCCATTAAGGAGCCTGAGCTGTGTCTGTCCCTGTTTAGAGCTCTGCCTCTCCTACCAAGGGCTTCATGAAGGCCTTGTCCTCAGGTGAGCCACCACGCCTAGTCCATCTTCTTTGAAAATATATATTTGAGACTCTCCATAATGAAATGTTTAGGCATACCTCATTTTATATTGCATATTGCTTCATTGTGGTTTGCAGGTATTGCATTTTTTTTAATAAAATGAAGGTTTTTAGCAACCTTCTGTCAAGTAAGTCTGTCAGCATCATTTTTCTAACAGCACGTGCTCACTTTGTGTCTCTGTGTCCCATTTTGGTAATTCTCATAATATTTCAAACCTTTTTACTATTATTATACCTGTTTTGGTGACCTGTGATCACCATATGTTACTATTTTACTATTTTGATGTTTCTATTGTAATTGTTTCGGGGCACCACAAAGTGCACCCACATAAGATGGTGAATTTAGTAAATGTTATGTGTGTTCTGACTGCTCCACTGACTGGCCATTCCTCTCTTTCTCTCTCCTTGGACCTCATAAAACACAAGAATGTTGAAATGAGGCCTATTAATAACTCAACAGTGGCCTCTACATTTTCAAAGGAAAGGAAGAGTCACACATCTCTCACTTTAAAGCTAAACCTTAGAAATTTTGGGCCTAGTGGGGAAGGCATGTCAAAAACCAAGATCAGCCAAAGGCTAGGCCTCTTGCACCAAATAGTTAGCCAGGTTGTGGATGCAAAAGAAAAGTTGTTGAAGAAAATCAAAAGTGTTACTCCTGTGAATACACAATTGATAAGAAAGCAGAACAGCCTTGTTGCCAACGTGAAGGAAGTTTGGTCTGGAAAGAAGCTCAAACCAGCCACAAATTCTCTTAAATCAAAGCCTAATCTGGAGCAAGGCCCTAATCCTTCAATTCTATGAAGGCTAAGAGAGTGGAAGAAGCTTCAGAAAAGCTAACAGAGGTTGGTTTATGAGGTTTAAGGAAAGAAGCTATCTCCATAACATGGAAGTGCAAGGTGAAGCAGCAAGTGCTGATGTAGAAGCTGCAGCAATTTATCCAGAAGATCTGGCTAAGAACACTGATGAAGGTGGTTAGGCAAAACAACAGATTTTCAGTGTAGACAAAGCAACCTTCTATTGGAAGAGATGCTGTCTAGGACTTTCAGAGCCATAGAGGAGAAGTCAATGCCTGGCTTCAAAGGACAGGCTGCCTCTCTTGTTAGAGACTAATGCAGCTGGTGACTGTAAGTTGAAGCCAGTGCTCATTTGCCATTCTGAAAATCGTAGGGATGTTGAGAATTATCCTAAATCTACTCTGCTCTTGCCCTGTGAATGGAACAATAAAGCCTGGATGACAATTCCTCTGTTTACAGCATGGTTTACTGAATATTTTAAGCCCACTTTTGAGACCAACTGTTCAGGAAAAAAAGATTCCTTTGAAAATATTACTGCTTATTGGCACTGCTCGTGGTCACCCAGGAGCTCTGCTGGAGATGTACAGGGAGATGAATGTTGTTTCCATGCCGCTAACACAACAGCCATTCCGTAGCCCATGGATCAAGGAGTAATTTCAACTTTGAAGTCTTATTATTTAAGAAATACAGCTCATAAGGCTACAGCTGCCATAGATAGTGATTCCTCTGATGGACCTGGGCAAAGTAAATTGAAAACCTTCTGGAGAAGATTTACTATTCTAGAAGCCATTAAGAACATTTGTGATTCACAAAAGGAGGTCGAAATAGCCACATTAAAGGAGGAGTTTGGAAGAAGATTCCAATCCTCACAGATGACTTTGAGAAGTTCAGGACTTCAGTGGAGGAAGTAACTGCAAATGTGTTGAAAATAACAAGAGAACTACAATTACAAGTGAAGTCTGAAGATGTGACTAAATTGCTGGAATCTTAGGATCAAACTTGAACAAACAGAGTTACTTCTTACGGATGAGCAAAGAAAGTGTTTTGAGATGGAACCTGTTCCTGGTTAAGATGCTGGGAACATTATTTAAATGACAACATAGGATTTAGAATAGTACATAAATTTTGTTGATAAAGCAGCAGCAGAGTTTAAAAAGATTGACTCCAGTTTTGAAAGAAGTTCTACTGTGGGTAAAATGTTACCAAACAGTGTTTCGCTACAGAGAAATTTTTCATGAAAGGAAGAGTCAATCTATGTGGCAAATTTTATCTCATTTTAAGAAATTTCCACAGTTGAGGGAAGGGGCATGACAAAGATTTCCACAGCCACCCCAGCTTCCAGGAACTACCACCCTGATCAGTCAGCAGCCATCAGCGCCAAAGCAGGACCCTGCACCAGCAAAAAGATGACTCACTGAAGGCCCAGATGATTGTAAGCAGTTTTAGGCAATAAAACATTTTTTTAATTAAGGTATTACTTTTTAAAGACAGTGGTATTGCACATTTAATAAACTACAGTATAGTATAAAAATAACTTTTATATGCATTGGGAAACGAAAAAATTTTACAGGCGACTGCCACCATGCCTGGCTAATTTTTGTATTAGAGGTTGGGTTTCACCATGTTGGCCAGACTGGTCTTGAACTCCTGACCTCAAGTGATCTGCCCACCTTGGCTTCCCAAAGTGCTGGGGTTAGAGGTTTGAACCACTGCACCCAACTTTGGTGAGGGTTTTTTTGTTTGTTTGTTTTTTTCAGGGAGGCTCAAAGTTGGTAAACACTGGAGCAAGTATAGCTTGTTGCTTGTGGACTGGGCAATCTTTTAAACCCTCATCAGATCCACTCAGGATTATCACCTGCTCTCTTTGAGCCCAGCGCTTACCTTCTCCACATTCCCATGGGCAAGTCCCGCCATGGCTGCAGTCTGTGGGCAGCACACCTGCCTAGCCCTCCTGGTGAACAGGCCCAGGCAAGTTCTTAGGCTCCCTTTCAGTTCTCACATTCTCTGATTCTAAACAAAGTGCTTTATTCTTCTGTTCTTTCTATATATGTAGTTCTACTTACAAACCTTTCTGCTCCAGAGGTCAACAGAAACCCCAGCCTGTTAATGTTTCTGCTTTCTACCTAAGAAGCATGAAATTACAGCCTGCCACCTAATATTAAAGGTCATTTTGCATGAATGTATAGAAGGTGATGTCCAGATAGCTTTTGACTGAAAACATATGGTAACAGACTCCCCTGTGAGATTGGTCTCTGGACTGTCATGGATTGGCCCAGCTAATAAGGAGGATGGGCCTGGTAGGTAGGCAGGAGGCAGCAACATCTGGCGAGCTAGCCTGGCACAAGGGCCTTCAGTTTCCTGGGGCTGTTGGTGAACCTCTCCCAGGAGAGAAGATGCTCCCAAATGAGCATTTTCTCAGGGAAAGGTCTTCCTAAACACACACAGCTCCTAGAAGCCCAACCTGCTTAAAATCATATTTACTCTCATGTGGCTTAAAATCATATTTGCTTTCATTCGTTCCTCATCTTAATTACATTTTTTCTGCACTAGTGTCTTTATTCATTATTTAAAACAACTTTCAAAAATAATTATGCAGTAATCCCTTCTCCTCTATACAGTAGCTGTTTCCCTTCCTGTATTAGGTTTTTCAGCTCTTGGTGTTGTGGCTATCTGTACTACAACGTTGCTGTCTTCAGAGGATAGATATTACAGGCCTAATGTGTGATGTCAGTATTTACCAGTGCCCAGGGAAGGAGCAGAATTCCCTATGGGGTCCTGCTCACATTGCCTGAGACTTGTTTAGAAAGTCTGCATTATGCTTTGCCCTCCACTCATAAAAAGTCTTGTATTTTACTTTTTAGCTAAGCATAATTTCATGCATACTTTTCCATGTCACTACATAATCTTCAGATTTATCATTTTAATGGCTACTTAATATTCCATCCAGTTAACATGCCATAATTTACTTAACTGTTCCCCATTGTTGGGGCTGTAATGAAAATTTGAATTCGCCGTGTAAGATGGGGGGAGGCTTGTTTTAATTTTACAGTTATAACATCCCCCGCCCTAACTGCATGCCGTTACTCACCCAGCTTTGGTAAGGCGCAGATGCTTCTGGACCAGTAAATCCTGCATGAGAGGTGTGTGCACAAGTCCCTCTGATTTAATGGCTAATCTAATCACTGCACATGTTTTCCTTTAAGGCTGGTATTTATGTAGAATATTCGTTTCTTCTGAATATTGTGTAACACTAAACTATGCATTTGGCATATTGTCCCAGATCCTTTATCACTGCTGTCAGGGATTTTCATAAAGTATCTGGAATTTGGGAGTAAATAGTGGTTTCTGGCTGTCAGTTCTTTTTCATTTATTCCACACCACATTCACTGAGTATCTTGTTGTAGCGAGAGTGAGCAAAAGCACTCCTGGTTATCGGGGGCCAACGGGAAGTACATCTGTGAATTGTTTGTGGTTCCTTTAGATTAAATTCCAAATTGCATGAAAAGTGCTTCATCATCTGTAGAGTACATGGGGTAGTTGCTAGTTCTGTTTGTAAAGGAGGGTGAAGAGGAAGGTAGTTTTCCCAGGTCAGTGCCTTCTTGGCTGCCGTATCCTCAGCCCCCAGAATTCTGCAGACAGGAGGCTAGACTTCACTCTCAGAACTGAGGAAGACGAATGCAGGTGATAAGGACCCTACAAAGCACTAAGTAGCAGATCAGATAGTTTAGTAGATTTAGTGATTTACGAAGTTGTCCACCATTCTTAACAGTTGGTCTTCACCTTAAAGTGACAAAGTCCTACCACTCTATAGCTTTTCCCTTCTCTTTTTCTGTTTCTCCCTCTGTAAAAAAGGAAGCATCATCCTCAAAACTAATAAATGATCCAGTTTACTCATGGGACCCAGTAAAAGCTGTGTTTGCCGAAGTATGGGACATTTTCTCATAGATGTGATATTAGGTGTCCTGAGAACTACATGGTGAGGAGGTTTTTCCCTTTTTATTCTTTCTCTTCCTGGAGAGAGAAAATTATTCATATTTGCCAGAGAAAGTGTCTGTTTGCTGATTGCATTTCCTACCAGCTCTCCAACACTTGCACATCTCCCCTCTCAGCAGAGAAAGCAAGCCCCATGCTCAGCCTCCCAGCACCTACCTCGGTGGTTCTCATTCATTTTGCTTAGTATCCCTTTTTGGCAAAGAATAATGGCTCATGGGATGGTGATCTAAAGTCTCATTTTTAAATGAATTTATTTTATCTAAAAAGGGAGGCAAGATAAATAAAAATGGTAAGTAACCACCCAGTTACTACTACCACCCAAGTGGTAGGCAGAAATGGCCCAAGTCATGAAGTCACATGACTAAATAAAGTTTGGGAAATACTAGCATGAAGTTAATTCATGTAAACACTAACGATCATGGGCACAGCATCCTTGGCTTCTGTTTCATCAGGGTGTGTGTCCACATGAGCTGCCCTGGATCATAAAGCCCAGTCTGAAAGCAGCTTGGAAGGGCTGATGTCATCTGTGTGTGTTTTATCAGCTGCTCTTCAAGGAGTGTAACTCCTGTGGCTTCTGCCATATCTTTATGCCATCAGAACTCTGATTTTGGGAAGGCCTCAAGAGAGCATTGAGCTCACTTATAGTCCTCAACCCCTTTTGCATCAAGCCTCACCTCTACTCCCTCACCTCCTTGGACCTGGTGCTCCAGACAACAATGACAGTGAATATTCATAATGAAGGACTATTAGCCCAAAAAAGAAACTCAGACACCTGCTGCAACATGGAAAAACGTTGAAAACACTATAAAACTGAATGAATCCACGTTATTCAGGATGTACCTAGAGTGATCAGATTCATAGAGACAGAAAGTAGAAGGGTAATTGTGGGGCCTAGGGAGGCATAATAGGGACTTGATGTTTAATGGGTACAGGATTTCAGTTTGAGAAGACGAAAAAGTTCTAGAGATGGATGGTAGCAAAGATTACCAAAAATGTGAATGTACCTAATGCAACTGAATTGTACATAAATCATGGCTAAAATGGTCAGTATTGGCTGGGGGCAGTGGCTCACACTTGTAATCCCAGCACTTTGGGAGGCTGAGGCAGGCAGATCATATGAGGTCAGGAGTTTGAGGCTAGCCTGGCCAACATGGCAAAACCCCATTTCCACTAAAAATACAAAAATTAGCCGGGTGTGGTGATGCACATTTGTGATCCCAGCTGTTTGAGAGGCTGAGACATGAGAATTGCATGAACCCAGGAGGTAAAGGTTGCAGACAGCTGAGATTGCACCACTGCACTCCAGCCTGGGTAACAGAGTGAGACTTTATCTCAGAATAGAATAGAATAGTCAATGTTATTACATGTATTTTACCATAATAAAAAATAAAGTAGGCAGCAAGCACTTTCTTTCCAGCCTCATTGCATTGGCTTACCCTGGTCCTACCACCAGGAAACTGCCCCTCTCGTGTTTCCATTTGTCAGAGCTGACAGTTCAAATGCCATCTCCCTTCCCTCCCACCCTGCCACTCCCAGCCCTGCAAGTGCTGAACCCCCCTCACCACCAAGCATGATGGCAATTTAGGTACATGTTGTGTCTGCTGGGAACAGTGGGCTTCCTGAGAGCAACCTCCATGGTAAACCTTCCCCACATTCCCCACTTGGGTCATGCACATAGTATCCATGATTAAACAGCAGGTCAAGTTTCCCTGTTTGACCAGGAAGTGCCTGATTTTAGCATCCTAGCATCCATCTTTCCAGCCACCACTGGCCTCCCAGGACTGAGCAGCAGCCAAAATGAGCACCTCCTGTCTGAGACCTCATCTAGACAGGCAATCACCATTAGTCCACACCGGTACCAGGCCTTAGCATCTTCTTTAGAAGATTAAGAGCTTTCTTTCTTTATTCAGAAGTAAAGCTGGACAGCCTCTCCAATCCCTAGATGGGTTCAGTCTGTTTAGAAGATGCTCTGGGGGAGATAGAAGAGAAGGGAAGGGGTCACTCGGGCTTTGCAGTGGAGAAAAGTGGCCTCTGGTCTCCTTGGGGAGGCTCTTATTGGTTCTTTTAAATGCATGTGTGAGCTGGTGGGAACCGCATGGCCTAGTCCTCTCCTTGTACAAATGAGGACTGAAAATCCAAAGAGGGCAAGAACTGCTCTAGAGGGAAAGACCCCAGCTTGTCTATGAAACAAGGGGTCAGAAGCTCTGCGTGTTCTGGGCAGGTGTCAGGACACACCTGGAGCATCGTGTTCACATCTGGGCTCTGCCTCTTAAGACTGAGATTCACAAGTGGATGGAGGCAGGGCTGTCATTAGGTCTGTGAGCCTGTGAGCCTTGTGAGCCAGCCTGGCTCAGGAAAAGCAGAGACCCGGCAGTGGGGGTTGGTAGGGTGGGTAAAACCCAGACAGGGGCCCTGTCTCTGTCATCCTTACCTCCCCACTGGCAGCTCTGAGTTTGTGGTGCTTCTGGGTGGGAATCCAGGTGAGGAAGCACATACTGCAGCATCCATTTCATCTCTGCTTCCTTCCTTTTTGCCTGCAGAATTTCAGAGGCAGGAAAGTGTCCGGTCCCAGCATAAAGGTATCCAGTTATATGACACCCCTTACGAACCCGAAGGCCAAAGTGTTGACTCAGACTCGGAGAGCACAGTCAGCCCCCGACTGCGGGAGAGCAAGCTGCCCCAGGATGACGACAGGCCTGCCGATGAGTACGACCAGCCTTGGGAGTGGAACCGGGTCACCATCCCAGCCTTGGCAGGTAAGGAGCCCTGACCCTGTTCACGAGGCAGCTGCTAAGCCATGCTCAGCACTCACTTTGGTCCCAGCCTGTGCTCAGGACAAACTCCAGGGCTGTTTAATAATCCAGCTGGTGGTCCTTTTTCTTAGTACCGTCAAAGATATAGGCTGCAGAGGAAAGGGAGAGGTGAGGGAAGGGAGAACAGGCCAAGGAGAATCTGGGTCTGGCTTCCAGAGTCTCGGCGTTTGAGCCTCTGCACTCTTCAGAGATGGAAGGTTTAGATGTTCTGATTGTCTGGCTGTCTTGGTCCTACTTATTGATAATTCCCTGGCTCACTGAAGCCAAGATTTCAGTTTTCAGAAGGAACTTTCTGAGAAAGTAAGAGGAAACCAGTGTGCACAGCAGCTTCTGTTGGGCCTGAGCAGGCTCAGTGACCCCATCCACCCCTGGGAGCTGAGCTAGGCCTGCACGGCTCACAGGGCCTCTGTGTCTCCTATCCCAGCTTCAGCGTGTACCCGCTAACTGAGCATAGGCGATGGGCAGAGCCCAGCTCCTCCCAGATGACCGTACCCTGGCCAAGAGCTCCTTGAGTGACTTGAGTGTCCCCTTCCTCCCCAATCAAGGGCTGCTTTTCTAGAATGTGGGTATCGGTCACAATTCTAGAACTCTTCTCCCACAGCCCTTTTGAAAAGTGATCTTGGGCACATGCATCCTAAGTCATAAACCTAAGCTCGTAGCTTTGTATTCTAGTCCCACTCCTTAGAAATTATGATGCCAAAGTTATGATAAATTCAGAAAAGGCATTGTTTATAATTATGGAAAATTGAGAGCAATCCAAAGGTTCAGCAATGGAGATTGGATTTCTGTGCGTCTATATGGTGGAATATTTATTGTGCAGCCACTAAAAAGTGATGTTTATCAAGAGTTCATAACTACCTAGAGAAATGCTTATGTCTAATTAAGAGATGAAAAGCCAGATGCAAACAGTTTTTACATATCTGAGAGTTCAGGCATGTAATTTTAAGTGAGTAACATTTAATTCCTACCACACTGACAGTCATAAAGGGAAACTTTTTCATTTGTTTAAAATTTATTTTGCCTTAAATCTCCCTTTTTTTTCCCACATATGACTAGACTCTTCCTCCCTTTCTAATCCTGAACACTGAGGCCTCTGCCCTGCCCTTATCCCAGGCCCCTTACTTGCTGTTGTAGCCATTTCAGTACATATTACTCACAGTTCCTTGGATATAGCATGCCCTGTGCAAATCCCATTTTTCTAGCTAAAATGCCCTCCCCTGCCTGTCTTATCTGGAACAATCCTGTGCCTCCTTTGAGGCCCAGCTTACACATAACCATCTCTCCAAGCCCTCCTGGGTACTCAGCCATGCACCCCACAGACTCCTGCTGCCTCTCTGGGCCTGTCGAGTTTCCTGCACACATCACTGCAGGACCATTTCTCACACCACATCAGGGTTAGTTCTGTAGGTGTTGGTCTCGCCTGCCAGGCTGTGAGCTCATCAAGGATAGGCTGTCTCATCACCTTTCTATAGCCCCAGCCCCTGGCTGAAAGCCAAAGACAAGAGTCATCCTGTGGCTGGAGGTCCTGGGTCCACCCAGGTCTCCCCTCTGCATTTTACAGCCTCCTCTATTCCCTTGAACCAAAGGAATCCAAGGACTGTCCCCTGGGCATGGCTGATTAGGGGCTGTGTTTTTCTGGGTGTGGGAGGAACTGGGGCCACCCAGGAGCTTGCTCTTTGCAAACACGAGTTCGATTAAAGGGCTAAAAGGGCTCATGTGGCAACTTTCCCGGACACCGAGGGCTCACATTATAGTGTAGCACCACAGGCAGGCTCACCCTCCCCTGGACTGACCAACTGCGGGCCACTCAGGGCTGCCCTTGCCTTTGATGCTCTAGTCTAGTCTGGCATGTTGTTACTCAAAGTGTGGTCCCTGACCCAGCAGCATTGGCATCACCTGGAGCTGGTTAGAAATGCAGGGTCTGAGGTCCCATCCCAGGCCTGCAGAGTCAGAATCTGTTTTAACAAGATCTCAGGTGATTTGTGAAAGTGAAAAGTACTTCCCCTATAGAATATCATCTTTCAAGAAAACTCTCAGGCCAGAACCTCTTCTGCCCAAAGGTGGTTTTAGGACTCCTGTTCTAAAGGAGTTAAACTATACTGAAAGAATTTAGAACTCTTGTTCACAAAGAGTTCAGATAGAAGAGTTCATAAAGGTCTCAGATAAAACTGTCTCATTAGAATGAGTTTATGAGCCTACAAGCATCCATTTTGGCCTGGGTGTTGAGTGGCAGAGTTGCCATCACAGGTGTCATGAGCAATCTGAGTTATTGGGCTGTTGATAGTAGACACAGAATCACATCCAGGTCTGTGTCTCATCCAGTCACCAGCTTCTATGGGTCCTGCTCCAAGGCGGGCACTGCTGTGTTTTTCCTAAGCAGTTTTTGGCTCAGTTCTGCCTCCTGGGACAGAGAAGGAGAAGGCCATCTCACCAGGGGCTGGAGAGGTTCTGTGGACACCAGCCTTCTCTCCCTGTGTCTGTGGACAGAGTCTATCAGGTGCAGTGTGGGCAGGCAAGATGCATCCTTACTGTTTGCTGTCACTGGAGGGAAAGTGGGGAGGTGGGTGGGCCACCTCTCAGGTGATGAGGGCGAGTTGAAGCAGCTTGGTTGGCTTGCTGATGTGTCACCACAGTCCTATGTGTAAGCCCAGAAGTACAGCTGCCAGGGAATGATGGTGAGGACCCCCACCTGAGTACCTGAGTCAGTGCTGTGTGTGCACGTGAGTGTACATCTACCTGCATGTGTGCAAGTGCATGTACTCAGTGTGGTCAGTGGGTAAGGCAGCACTTGGCCAGGCCCCATCCTTAGCATAGTACCTGTTGGAAATGCCCTACACAGTTTTTTCTTGACTCTTGGGACTCTCTGCGCTGAGTCTTAGGAGCCTGGGGTGCAGGATCCATAGCTGGAGGAAGAGCTGTATGGGATGGAGTTGGCTGGGCAAAATCATTACCCTCTCCTTTCACCCCTTATATTTGCTGAGTCTGCAGGCTTGGCCTGGATGGGGAAACTTGGTCTGGGAATGGGATTGATGCTTTCAAATTTCCAAAGGGTATAGAGTATGGGGTCCCCTAAGGGACAGACCTGGGCCTGTCAAGAGGGGGAGTCACAGGGAAGGACCCAGGTGAAGGGTAAGAATTTTGGTTAGACAGCAATGTGTGTAATGAGCTTCCCAGCACTGGGGGTTTGCAAACAGCAGCTTAAGTGAGGCAGGGCTCTGATGGAGGGTGTGTCCTGGGAGGTCCGGTCTGCAGCCAGCTCTGGGGACGCATCCAGGCTTCATTTCATCAGAACCCCAGCATGCTGCTGGTCAGAGACAGGGAGAGGGGAAGATGGCTGAATTAACTCCATCTATCCATGAAGCAGAAGTGCTTTCCAGCTTTCAAAGTGCTGTCCCAAATTGCATTTGTGAAAAGAGGCACCTCTCAGGCACTGCGTCAGCATTCTCCACCAGAGCGCCCTTCTCAGGCAGTGTTTCTGGCAGTTAGCGCTGCTGCCATGGGAAGGCTCAGTTATCACTTCCC